GGCAATACGTTGGTGAAAGAATGTGTGTTTTGTGTGTGTTGGAGATGTTTGTGCTCTAATGGAGAAGTGCACTGACTGCACCTTTATGGCAGAGTAACTGCAGGGACGGAACATCAAACCGTGCTGCATAGGCCACTGTTCCCTAACTGTTCATCACTGCAGCGATCTAGTTCCCGGGATCAGCGTTCCAGCTTCTGTAATGTTCTTTCTATATAGTTGTCGGTGTTACATCGCTGTGCCAGTCACGGTAAAGCTGTATTGCAGTGGTCTAGTTGTTGCTGTGCCAGTCACGGTAGCCCTGCTAGTTGTTGCTGTGCCAGTCACGGTAGCCCTGCTAGTTGTTGCTGTGCCAGTCACGGTAGCCCTGCTAGTTGTTGCTGTGCCAGTCACGGTAGCCCTGCTAGTTGTTGCTGTGCCAGTCACGGTAGCCCTGCTAGTTGTTGCTGTGCCAGTCACGGTAGCCCTGCTAGTTGTTGCTCTGCCAGTCACGGTAGCCCTGCTAGTTGTTGCTGTGCCAGTCACGGTAGCCCTGCTAGTTGTTGCTGTGCCAGTCACGGTATCCCTGCTAGTTGTTGCTGTGCCAGTCACGGTATCCCTGCTAGTTGTTGCTGTGCCAGTCACGGTAGCCCTGCTAGTTGTTGCTGTGCCAGTCACGGTATCCCTGCTAGTTGTTGCTGTGCCAGTCACGGTAGCCCTGAACTGCAATAGTCAAGTTGTCGCTGTGCCAGTCACGGTCACCTTGTATTACACAGTCTATTTGTCGCTGTGCAAGTCACGGTCACCCTGTATTACAACAGTCTATTTGTTGCTGTGCCAGTCACGGTCACCCTGTATTACAACAGTCTAGTTGTCGCTGTGCAAGTCACGGTCACCCTGTATTACAACAGTCTATTTGTTGCTGTGCCAGTCACGGTCACCCTGTATTACAACAGTCTATTTGTTGCTGTGCCAGTCACGGTCACCCTGTATTACAACAGTCTAGTTGTCGCTGTGCAAGTCACGGTCACCCTGTATTACAACAGTCTATTTGTCGCTTAGCCAGGCACGGTCACCCTGTATTGCAATATTCTAGTTGTCGCTGTGCAAGTCACGGTCACCTTGTATTACAACAGTCCATTTGTTACTGTGCCAGTCACGGTCACCCTGTATTACAACAGTCTAGTTGTCGCTGTGCAAGTCACGGTCACCTTGTATTGCAACAGTCTATTTGTCGCTGTCCGTCACGGTGATAGGATCTATATTTGTATCAGAGACCTTCAATACTTTGACAATAGGCATAAGCTAGAGTTACTACATGTTAACATGTACCGTCTACATTTTCTCTAAGAAGAGGATAGAATAAGAGTAAAAAAACATAAAATATACAAAGGAATTTTAACGAACACCATCATATTTTTAGAATGTTGCATCTGCGTTGCATACACGATTATATTTGCTGCTGAGTCCAGAAAACCCCGTAACTGACCCCCAGAGTCTCGCGTACCAAAAGGGGGTTGACAGCCTCTCGTCTTGTATGGAGGATGAGATAACGGCGTAACGTATTATGAACACCTGCTTCTAATAGAGAGTCGGGTCCTGTCAAGAAGGATATGCAGTACATATTTTATCATGTTGAATACATTAAAAAGTATACACCGTACATATACTAGCATGCGTTGTTTACTGCCCCCATGTAAGGTCAGGACACCTGGTAAACACTGTTTACTGCCCTCTTGTGAGGTCGATAAAGCTAACATGTATTGTTAACTGTCATATTTAAGGACGATACATCTAGCTTGTGTTGTTTACTGCCCTCTTGTGAGGTCGATAAAGCTAACATGTATTGTTAACTGTCATATTTAAGGTCGATACATCTAGCTTGTGTTGTTTACTGCCCTCTTGTGAGGTCGATAAAGCTAACATGTATTGTTAACTGTCATATTTAAGGTCGATACATCTAGCTTGTGTTGTTTACTGCCCTCTTGTGAGGTCGATAAAGCTAACATGTATTGTTAACTGTCATATTTAAGGACGATACATCTAGCTTGTGTTGTTTTCTGCCCTATATAAGGTCGATACATCTAGCTTGTGTTGTTTACTGTCCTATATAAGGTCGATACATCTAGCATGTGTTGTTTACTGTCCTATATAAGGTCGATACATCTAGCTTGTGTTGTTTACTGTCCTATATAAGGTCGATATATCTAGCATGTGTTGTTTACTGCCCTATATAAGGTCGATACATCTAGCTTGTGTTATTTACTGGCATATATAAGAACGATACATCTAGCATGTGTTAATTACTGGCATATATAAGGACGATACATCTAGCTTGTGTTGTTTACTGTCCTATATAAGGTCGATACATCTAGCTTGTGTTGTTTACTGCCATATATAAGGTCGATACATCTAACTTGTGTTGTTTACTGCCCTATATAAGGTCGATACATCTTGCATGTGTTGTGTACTGCCCTATATAAGGACGATACATCTAGCTTGCGTTGTTTACTGTCCTATATAAGGACGATACATCTAGCTTGTGTTGTTTACTGTCATATGCAAAGTCGATACATCTAGCTTGTGTTGTTTACTGTCCTATATAAGGTCGATACATCTAGCATGTGTTGTTTACTGCCATATACAAGGTCGATACATCTAGCTTGTGTTGTTTACTGTCCTATATAAGGACGATGCATCTAGCTTGTGTTGTTTACTGCCCTATATAAGGTCGATACATCTAGCATGTGTTGTTTACTGCCCTATGTAAGGTCTATACATCTAGCTTGTGTTGTTTACTGCCCTATATAAGGTCGATACATCTAGCATGTGTTGTTTACTGCCCTTTATAAGGTCGATACATCTAGCATGTGTTGTTTACTGCCATATATATGGACGATACATCTAGCATGTGTTGTTTACTGCCCTATATAAGGTCGATACATCTAGCTTGTGTTGTTTACTGTCCTATATAAGAACGATACATCTAGCATGTGTTGTTTACTGCCCTATATAAGGTCGATACATCTAGCATGTGTTGTTTACTGCCCTATATAAGGTCGATACATCTAGCATGTGTTGTTTACTGCCCTATATAAGGACGATACATCTAGCATGTGTTGTGTACTGCCATATATAAGGTCGATACATCTAGCATGTGTTGTTTACTGCCATATATAAGAACGATGCATCTAGCATGTGCTGTTTACTGCCATACATAAGGAAGATACATCTAGCATGTGTTGTTTACTGCCAAATTTAAGGTCGATACATCTAGCATGTGTTATTTACTACCATATTTAAGGAAGATACATCTAGCATGTGTTGTTTACTGCCAAATTTAAGGTCGATACATCTAGCATGTGTTATTTACTGCCATATTTAAGGACGATACATCCAACACGTGTTGTTGACTGCGCCCAGTATATATCAATAATAATCAAAGGAAGCTGTACAAATATTCATGGATAAGCCCCTGTCTTTTAACCAGACCGACTGTCGTGGACGAAGATGTTGATTAACAAAGTGGTCTCGCCCATCACGTTACTGGGCTTGGCTGATGCTCATGTCATACTTTCGGCCTGAAATGCTTCGTCCGTCACTTCAGAGAAAACATACTTTGTCGAAATAATTATTCCTATTTCTGGTGTTGGATATTTGAGACAGTCTTAATTGTGACCGTTTCGTCCTAACTGCCAGACATAAAACCATCTGCTTCAAGGCAGTCAGTCCGTCCCGGGAGGAAATGGCTTCTGAAAACAGAAGCCTGCACATGGTTGATTTCAGCACAACGTTTTTTAATGCTGATATGTCTGGCACAGTATGATTTCCATGGAGACTGAATTACCCCTTTAGAAATATCATTGTTGAATGACCTTGAGGTTTGTTGGAACGCTAGAATTAAGACGGCATGTGCATTTGCAGTGTTGGGAACCCATTGGCTAACATTAGTGTATTTCAGGGGACACAATAGCCCTGTGGTTGAAGCGTTCATCTGTGAGAACGATACCCAGTTTTGATTTCCCACATCGGTCCAGTTATTGAGTACACACTTGGTGACCTGCCTCTATTCTGAGGGGGGCTGTCGGGTAGCCTAGTGGTTAAAGCGTTCGCTCGTCACGCCGAAGACCCGGGTTCGATTCTCAACTTGGGTACAATTTGTGAAGCCCATTTCTGGTGTCCTCGCCGTGATATTGCTGGAATATTGCTAAAAGCGTAAAACCATACTCACTCACTCATTCACCATACGATCCTGTTCGTAAAATGGTGAACATATCATGTCCCATCGGTGACACCCATTACAAACACATGCAATGGCAAGTCAAACATTCACCTGAACCAACATACGGTACAAGTCAAACTAAGCAATTGCATCGGACATCATTTGGTCACTCGTTTTCTCACATTCGGAAATGTTCTCCACCTGTCTTCCACAAAACCTTTTGGAAGCGTTACTGAGGCCTACTGCTATATCATGATCAAAGAGACCGCCTCCGTGGTCTTGTGGTAGAGCGTCCGCCCGGAGAGCGGAAGGTCCAGGGTTCGATCCCGGGCCGCGTCATACAAAAAGACGTTAAAAGATTGTACTTGTTGTTACCCTGTCTGGCGCTCGGCATTAAGGGGCTAAAACAAGGACTGGTCGGCTCGGAGTCAGTATACTGTGTCTGAGTGGGGTATTCATGTTAAACTGCGGCATGGTATCTCAGTGAGCTAGCACTATAAATCGGCATCAGTCCGACTAGTACAAGCAGCCACACACACACATACACGTGCATGCACGTCGCTATATAAGTGCAATAATCTTGGACGCGACGTTAAACCCAATTTCACCTCACCTCACCATGATCAAAGAACTTCAACAAGAGTCACACGACGTTGTCCATAGAAAGAGCCTGCATGATGTGTATGATATTCATTGATTCTGAGGATTGTATGATTCCCCTTACTTATGTTGTATTTGTGGAGACAATGCCAATGTCCCGTTTGTAAATGTAAAGTCACTGAAACTGTTTTGTTTATTTCAGAATCCCTTGAGGGAAATGATGTGACGGACATGTCGGACTTCATTGACCTTGATGACCCCTTCTACGCTCATGAAACCTCCTCAGAATCTAAAGGTCAAACTACAACCAATGTAAACATTGATGCCTTAGTCACAGAGAAAACCACTCCAGCTGCAGTTTCCGGCGGAAATGACGTCATTAGTGACGACGACGATGACCTTGAATTGTCTGGAGCAGGGTCAGGTTCAGGAATGGATACTGACCTGACCGGCCACCAGCTCAACATCACAGCATTCCCTATACCTGGTGAGTCTTCATCTGTAGGACGGTATTTACTTGGGATGTCAGGAGTTGAGTATGAGGTTTTGTTTCTTTGGAGAGTTGGTGTTTAATGATTTTCAGGTGTTTCATTTGAAATGTAAGGTCGTGGGAATGAGGCATTGAATTTATGTGAGGGTTAGTGTTTGGGGGTTTATTTTTATTTAAAAGAAATTTCAAATGTATGTAAGAGGGTAATGTTGTTCGTAGGAGAATTTATGATCTTTTAACTGTGTTGTAACTGGATTTGTTAAGATTAAATGGGTGGTGGATAAGTCTTAAAACAGTTTCAGAACAGGTAGCCAGACTCGACCCGCACAGTCGATGGTATCATTCTCAAACATCAAACGTCTGAACAACAACGTAGTTACGGAATTTGCAGACGAATGCCATGTGATGGTGATGATGGTGGTGATGATGGTGGTGATGATGGTGATGGTGATGATGGTGATGATGATGGTGGTGATGGTGGTGATGATGGTGATGGTGATGGTGGTGATGATGGTGATGGTGATGATGGTGATGATGATGGTGGTGATGGTGGTGATGATGGTGGTGATGATGGTGATGATGGTGGTGATGGTGATGATGATGGTGGTGATGGTGGTGATGATGGTGATGGTGATGGTGGTGATGATGGTGATGGTGATGATGGTGGTGATGGTGATGGTGATGATGGTGATGATGGTGGTGATGATGGTGGTGATGATGGTGGTGATGGTGGTGATGATGAGGTTGATGATGGTGGTGATGATGGTGGTGATGGTGGTGATGGTGATGGTGATGATGGTGATGATGGTGATGATGATGGTGGTGATGATGGTGATGATGGTGGTGATGATGGTGGTGATGATGGTGATGATGGTGGTGATGATGAGGTTGATGATGGTGGTGATGATGGTGGTGATGGTGGTGATGGTGATGGTGGTGATGATGGTGATGGTGATGATGGTGATGATGATGGTGGTGATGGTGGTGATGATGGTGATGGTGATGGTGGTGATGATGGTGATGGTGATGATGGTGATGATGATGGTGGTGATGGTGGTGATGATGGTGATGGTGATGGTGGTGATGATGGTGGTGGTGATGATGGTGATGATGATGGTGGTGATGGTGGTGATGATGGTGATGGTGATGGTGGTGATGATGGTGATGGTGATGATGGTGATGATGATGGTGGTGATGGTGGTGATGATGGTGATGGTGGTGATGGTGATGGTGGTGATGATGGTGGTGATGGTGATGGTGATGATGGTGGTGGTGATGGTGATGATGGTGATGATGGTGATGGTGATGGTGGTGGTGATGGTGATGATGATGATGGTGATGATGATGGTGGTGATGGTGGTGATGGTGGTGATGGTGGTGATGATGGTGATGATGATGATGGTGGTGATGGTGGTGATGGTGGTGATGATGGTGATGGTGATGATGGTGGTGATGGTGATGGTGATGATGGTGATGATGGTGGTGATGATGAGGTTGATGATGGTGATGATGATGGTGGTGATGGTGCTAATGATGGTGATGGTGATGATGGTGATGATGGTGATGATGGTGGTGGTGATGGTGATGATGGTGGTGATGGTGGTGGTGATGGTGATGATGGTGATGATGGTGGTGGTGATGGTGATGGTGGTGGTGATGGTGATGATGGTGATGATGGTGGTGGTGATGGTGATGGTGATGGTGATGATGGTGATGATGGTGGTGGTGATCGTGTGACAGTGACACTGGAATGAGGGGTGACGTGTTGGACCCTCGTTCCAGTGATCTCACTATGCCACACACATCCAACCCCTCCGCATAGTAGCGTTCCTTTGGTGTGCCAGGATCTTGTTCCACTAAACTGGGAAACGACTACCACCTGCATCACTAGGCGAGGCGAATGTGGAATTCGAACACATGACCGTGTTTCCTGCCACGGTGAAGGGACGCAACCCTGTACAACGAATTGTGGCATTTCAGACCACTGGGCCAGAGTTTAATGCGAATTTATTCAACTCAAGATCTGTTGATATATGACTTTTCATTTAGAAGAAAATAAACGTATTCTAGTCGGTGCAAAAGTACACGGCTACCTCGAAAACATTAAATATCAAACAAGCCGCCTGCGCCCCCCCCCCCCCCCCCCCCCCCCCTCTTGGTCTGTTCCTCCCGTCATGCATTGATTAACTGTCTGTCTGGTCTGTCCCTGTGGTCAAGATGGAATTCACTGATTGAGCAGTGAGACTGTGACCAATCACCTCTAATTATAACCCTCTTTCCAAGCGTCACCATGGGATAACCCGCCTCTCGTCATTCCAGATCTGTGCGTTAACATCACGCAAACCCCGTGAGACAATTTGAGACATTAACTGTTTTTAGTTCACACAGGCGAAATACGGAAGCAGGCTCCATGTATTCAGTGTCCTATGATGGATATAGACCGACACATTCTGTAGACAGTTCAGTGTCCTATGATGGATATAGACGGACACACTCTGTAGACAGTTCAGTGTCCTATGATGGATATAGACCGACACACTCTGTAGACAGTTCAGTGTCCTATGATGGATATAGACCGACACACTCTGTAGACACTTCAGTGTCCTATGATGGATATAGACCGACACACTCTGTAGACAGTTCAGTGTCCTATGATGGATATAGACCGACACACTCTGTAGACAGTTCAGTGTCCTATGATGGATATAGACCGACACACTCTGTAGACACTTCAGTGTCCTATGATGGATATAGACCAACACACTCTGTAGACAGTTCAGTGTCCTATGATAGATATAGACCAACACACTCTGTAGACAGTTCAGTGTCCTATGATTGATGTAGAACAACAGAATCTGTTTATGAACTGACTGTCAAAAGAAACTTTACCATAGTTTTAAATCACTCTAATTTAGAAACCACAGACGATAGATTCGTGAAGTAAAAGAACAGATCTCAACGGATTCAACATTTGAAATAAGAGTCATACAGCAGCCGAACTTGGCGTGACAGTTGCATAAATTGAGGCGGGGTAGCAAAAAACTCCCAAAGGGAACACACACTGAAATCGCTCAAGTTAAATGACACGTCACATAAACGTATGACCACCCCCTGCTTCAAGACACGCAAAAACACTCCGGCGCAAAGAAAAAGTCAGTCGTCTGATGTCACGTGATGTCCTTCTTCTTGGAGGGCCTGGATCAGTTCTTGACGGTTGGCTGGAGTATGTGGTCGCTGTCAAACATGACGATCCATGGTATCTCAGAGATTTTCTATTGGTGACTTGTCTGGAGAGCGCGCAGGCTACGGCAGCACTCTGACGTTGTTGGTTGCAAGGAAGTTATGTACGGGGTGTATGGGACAATCGGACGAAGAATGTCATCCATTTGTCGCTGAGCTGTCAAATGCCCGTTAACGATGACCATTAGCGTTCTCTCCTGCCTACAAATTCCTCCCCACACCATAGCATCCCACCCACCATATGGCACGACCTCCTGAACGCAACATGGCTCCGTTCGTTCTCCCCTTCGGCTGTCTTCCATCAGGTCTGAACAGACAACCGGCTTTCATCAGTGAAGACGACGATGTACAGTCAGGGCCCATCTCAAACTCTGATGACGACGTTGCACTGTCAATAACTGTCCTCAGTAAGTTCTGTAAGCCCCAATCTTCCTTGAGCTCGGAGTCGCCTAGTCACTGTCTGACGACTAAATAAATGCCCTAAGGCGTTCGTCACTGATGACGTCAGGGTCAAGAATCAATTCCGGAGATGTAAAGTACGCAAGTACCGGTTTTCATTGGGCGTAGTTACCCTGGGTCTGCCTGTTCGTGGCCCGTCTGCCCGGCCTGTCTGTTACGTTGCGTCATGTTTGTTTCAGCAACAAGGGAGCATCCAAAAGTTCTAGTAATGTGGGCATGGATGGCACCCATCTGTATCATACACAGGGCCATCTTGCGTTGTTCGGGTGTCAGACGTTGCATTTCTTAAGTTGTTTTTTTTTATCAGTCTGAGTGTCTGACATACCGTCCGTATCATTTATATACCCTTTTGCACGTCTAGTTTCGGGTGCCCAAGCGGCACGTGTTTTTCACTTTTCACATTTTCTAGAAAAGAAACGTGCCGTGAACGTATATCATTTTCTGCATAGAACACTGTTGTTTGGGCGATGTGTTTTGCTTTGATTTAGTTTGAACTTGTGTTTGTTTTTTTGCGATTTCAGTTAAAAGTGCTAACGTTTCTTTTAACCGTCAGTGTATTTCGACGGGGACCATTAAATAACATCGTCTTGTCAATGTATCTATGACATCCGAGTTAAGGGAGGAGAGTATTTCTGCACTGAATATGGTTGGCTATTGTACGGCAATGTCTCCCTAATTTTCCTGGTGCTGATGTCGAGATTGACAGCTGAAATACTGGGTTTTATTGAAGAGAATTTAGACAATGGAGCAGAGAGACTTGTCCCACTTTGAACATGTAATCCTATTGTACTGGGATGAGGTATACCACTGGCTTTAATGGATGTAAACTACTATTGATTTCTGGCTCCTCAAATATAGTGGCCTCCACAAAAATAGTGACCTCCCATAGTGATCTTGTGCAAGACATGTTCACTGCGAACAAATGGTGTCATTTTTGCAATTAAAATGTAGGTTTTTACGAATTGGTCGCTTTCATTTGTTTCGACTCATTGCTTCTTTCCAATGTGACATTGACGTTCAGTGTGGTTGAAGGGGCGTTAATGGACCCTGTGTGTATGTTGCAGAGGGCGAGGGCATCAAGCTGAGCGCCGAGGCCACAACTGCTGAAAGTAAGTTATCTCACAATCTACTTTGCAGTAAATGTCCATGGTTAAAGCGTGTTTCGGCAAGGCAAACCAGTGGTAGATATCATGAGCATCGTTTCACACCGTCGGGGAACGATGACAAACCTTAATGAATACCCGATCCGCAGTTTGGAATAATGCACCCGTAGATCATCGACCACTGATTTGTAATTATGGATATACAGGGGGCCACGTGTGGTCAAGCCGTCGAAGGCGCCTCAGTTCGCTACGTCTCTAAGGCGTGACAAAAACATATGATCATGGGTTCGAATCCAGGTTCGACTTGGTTATATTTCTATTTTTGTCGGTTCCATATCCGTGTGTGGGTTTCTCCAAATTGATACACGTCTAAGACCATCACGAATGGCTTGTCTCCACAGGAAGCAGACACACCGAGATATAAATGACATACTGTTCGAAGCAGCGTTAAACTCAACTCACTCATTAATTACTGAGATATGATACCTCCATATCTACCTTCATATCAATCTCCCTATCTTCCTCTACACCTAACTACATATCTATCCCAATATTCTACCTCCATATCTACACCAATATTCTACATCCATATCTATACCAATATCTACCTCCATATCTACCCCCATAGCTACCTCCATATCTACCACCATATCTACCTTCATATCTACCTCGATATCTATACCAATATGTACCTCCATATCTACCTCCATATCTACCACCATATCTACCTTCATATCCACCTTCATATCTACCTTCATACCAACGTCCATACCTTTCTCTATATCTACCTCCATATATACCTTCATGTCTACCTTCATATCCACCTCCATATCTACCCCCATATCTACCTTCATAACTACCGCCATATCTTCCCCATATCTTCCTTCATAACTAACTTCATAACTACCTTCATATCTACATTTCTGTACCTCCATATCTTCCCCAATATCTACCTTCATATCTACCTCCATATCTACCTTCAAATCTACCTCCATATCTACCTCCATATCTACCTCCATATCTATCTCCATATCTACCTCCATGTCTACCTCCATATCTACCCCATATCTACCACCATATCTACCTCCATATCTACCTTCATATCTACCTCCATATCTACCTTCATATCTACCTCCATATCTACCTCCATATCTACCTTCATATCTACCTCCATATCTACCTCCATGTCTACCTCCATATCTATCTCCATGTCTACCTCCATATCTACCTCCATATCTACCTCCATATCTACCTTCATATCTACCTCCATATCTACCACCATATCTACCTCCATGTCTACCTCCATGTCTACCTCCATATCTATCTCCATGTCTACCTCCATATCTACCTCCATATCTACCACCATATCTACCTCCATATCTTCCCCAATATCTACCTTCATATCTACCTCCATATCTACCCCCATATCTATCTCTAAATCTATCTCCATATCTACCTCCATATCTACCTCCATATCTACCTTCATATCTACCTTCATATCTACCTCCATATCTACCACCATATCTACCTCCATATCTACCTCCATATCTACCTCCATGTCTACCCCCATATCTACCTTCATATCTACCTCCATATCTTCCTTCATATCTACCTCCATATCTACCTCCAAATCTACCTCCATATCTACCTCCATGTCTACCTCCATGTCTACCCTCATATCTACCTCCATATCTATCTCCATATCTACCTCCATATCTACCTCATATCTACCTTCATATCTACCTCCATATCTACCACCATATCTACCTCCATATCTACCTTCATATCTACCACCATATCTACCTCCATATCTACCTCCATATCTACCTTCATATCTACCTCCATATCTACCTCCGTGTCTACCTTCATATCTACCACCATATCTACCACCATATCTACCTCCATGTCTACCTTCATATCTACCACCATATCTACCTCCATATCTACCTCCATATCTACCTTCATATCTACCACCATATCTACCTCCATATCTACCTCCATATCTACTTCCATATCTACCTTCATATCTACCTCCATATCTACCTCCGTGTCTACCTTCATATCTACCACCATATCTACCTCCATATCTACCTCCATGTCTACCTCCATGTCTACCTCCATATCTACCTTCATATCTACTTTCATATCTACCTCCATATCTACCTCCATGTCTACCTCCATGTCTACCTCCATATCTACTTTCATATCTACTTTCATATCTACCTCCATATCTACCTCCATATCTACCTTCATCTCTACCACCATATCTACCTCCATATTACCACCGACTGCTATCTTCGAATTACAGTAGTTGAATGACTACAGGAGAAGAACATTATACTAAATAAACTGATGATATACATGTGTACCACCAACCTCTTCCCCGCCCCTACCCCGTGCACTCATTCTACCCTCTTTAGCGTCAAGGTATTCAGCGTCTTCATCACCCTTATCAAGTATCACCGAATGTGTCTCGTACAAAACCAAGGGAAACCTAAAACTGATTATTGTGTGGCGACATTAAGACATTGATAAAAAACATCCAGAATGTCTCCCCAGAGAGGGCTGTCATGGCGGGTCCGGTGACGAGACAGACGTGGTACCCCCGGCATCATCACGGGGTTGAAAGAACGCATCACCTACATGGTCCTTCCTTCATCTGGAGCCAATCATCCCCCTCTGTCAAATGAAAGCAATTTAACCTAGTCACTTTTCTAAATATCGTCCTCGCGTGATCCGCTGCACCGGCCGCCCATAACTGGCCGCGACCACACCGTGCTGGGCGATCGATAGATGTGATATCACAATTTATTACCTCTCTTATTATTTATTCCTTGATGTCGATAGGCTATGCTTGTCTTTAACATATAAATCATATAGATGAACCATTTGGAGAGGGATGCTGAATTTGATTATGTTTTTCAAGGTAAGACCGGGTTACGGATGTGACTGAAGGGATCAGCGTTAATACCCGACAGTGTTAACATGAAGACCCCGTACAACTGGTCTTTGTCTAGCTGGGATGACATTATGACAGGAATGTATTCCAATGCGTTTAGGTTGTATTAAGGGGTCAACAGGCATACATGAGTTACCGCCAACGCACAAGACAACGCTTCAAGTAATTGTGTTGCGTGTCCGAGTCGGTATGTCCTAGAACGTCATGTTTATCGACCGGTTAAAGCATTAATATGATTTAATACGCTATTAAACAAGCAAAAATGTCAGTTTTATATCAATAGAAAGATAACTCATTTTGGCATACACAAATTTAAGAATATGACATTTTGAAATGATATTGCCTGAAGATGAAGTGCATCGTTCTGTCGAGTTAGTGAGTGAGTGAGTGTCAGATTATTGTAAGATTGAGGTGAGTGTGTGTGTCGGGGAGTGGGGTCCGTGTGCGTGCGTGCGTGCGTGCGTGCGTGCGTGTATGTATGTGAGTGATTAAACACTAAAAGCGGCTTCATACTAAATTAGTAATTGTAATTGATAATTAATAAGTTCAAAATTGTATCTCGAAATTTCCCTAGTTTAAAGTAAACAAGACATTACCCATGAACAGACAGGCGAGATTGCATAAAAAGATTTCTTCAAGAAGTGAATCGTGCAGATTTTAGTGAGTCTTTTGATCCCTATCCCCAAATCACCACGACACTTTGTACTTCATTAAAATGAAGAAAAACGACCAACGGTTGCCCGACGTTCTTGGTCATGACTCTCGAGAGAAGACCACAACATGACAGTGATTAGATTGGCGAGAATATTTTGCGTCTTTTGGCGTAATTTCACAAACTCCAGCCACGTTCACGTACAAATCCGTGTTCATATACGTACGTTTGGTTTTCCTGTGATGCGACCTCAAACCTTACAGTGCAGCGCGCCTTATCTGATGTATCTCAGCATATCCATACGAGAACATCCATCCTCAGTTTGCTGCGATATCACATGTACATCTAGAAACAAGCTGAGCAACTACAAGCCATATGAATAGTCATTTCTAAAAAAACCCATCCCGTATCAATGTTCAGACTGTGTTTGGGTTTTCTTCACACTGACATACACATACTGAAAGACCGACATAGATTATTTGATGTTTCGTAATCGCTGAATAGCAATAGTTTTGTGCGTACCCTTTCCATTCCATACATAGGGGGTGAACTAACATTTGTATCCACGAAGAAGAACAGAGAGTCAATACTTGTGTCTATCTTGAACAGACAGTTCACACTTGGGTCCATATAGAACAGACAGTCAATACTTGTGTCAATCCAGAACAAACCGTTAATGTCTGTGTCCGTGTAGAAGAACAAGCAATAAATACTTGTGTTCATCCTGTGTTCACCAGTGGTGCTTGGTGTTCTCCAGGTGTATGCTATCCTGTGTTCTCCAGTCGTGCTTGGTGTTCTCCAGATGTATGCTATCCTGTGTTCACCAGTGGTGCTTGGTGTTGTACAGATGTATGCTATCCTGTGTTCACCAGTGGTGCTTGGTGTTCTCCAGATGTATGCTATCCTGTGTTCACCAGTGGTGCTTGGTGTTCTCCAGATGTATGCTATCCTGTGTTCACCAGTGGTGCTTGGTGTTGTACAGATGTATGCTATCCTGTGTTCACCAGTGGTGCTTGGTGTTCTCCAGGTGTATGCTATCCTGTGTTCTCCAGTCGTGCTTGGTGTTCTCCAGATGTATGCTATCCTGTGTTCACCAGTGGTGCTTGGTGTTGTACAGATGTATGCTATCCTGTGTTCACCAGTGGTGCTTGGTGTTCTCCAGATGTATGCTATCCTGTGTTCTCCAGTCGTGCTTGGTGTTCTCCAGATGTATGCCATCCTGTGTTCACCAGTGGTGCTTGGTGTTCTACAGATGTATGCCATCCTGTGTTCACCAGTGGTGCTTGGTGTTGTACAGATGTATGCTATCCTGTGTTCACCAGTGGTGCTTGGTGTTCTCCAGATGTATGCTATCCTGTGTTCTCCAGTCGTGCTTGGTGTTCTCCAGATGTATGCCATCCTGTGTTCACCAGTGGTGCTTGGTGTTCTACAGATGTATGCCATCCTGTGTTCACCAGTGGTGCTTGGTGTTGTACAGATGTATGCTATCCTGTGTTCACCAGTGGTGCTTGGTGTCCTCCAGATGTATGCCATCCTGTGTTCACCAGTGGTGCTTGGTGTTCTACAGATGTATGCCATCCTGTGTTCACCAGTGGTGCTTGGTGTTCTACAGATGTATGCTATCCTGTGTTCACCAGTGGTGCTTGGTGTTCTACAGATGTATGCTATCCTGTGTTCACCAGTGGTGCTTGGTGTTGTACAGATGTATGCCATCCTGTGTTCACCAGTGGTGCTTGGTGTCCTCCAGATGTATGCTATCCTGTGTTCTCCAGTCGTGCTTGGTGTTCTACAGATGTATGCCATCCTGTGTTCACCAGTGGTGCTTGGTGTCCTCCAGATGTATGCTATCCTGTGTTCACCAGTGGTGCTTGGTGTTGTACAGATGTATGCTATCCTGTGTTCACCAGTGGTGCTTGGTGTTGTACAGATGTATGCCATCCTGTGTTCACCAGTGGTGCTTGGTGTTCTCCAGATGTATGCTATCCTGTGTTCACCAGTGGTACTTGGTGTTCGTCAGGCGTATGCTATCCTGTGTTCACCAGTGGTGCTTGGTGTTCTACAGATGTATGCTATCCTGTGTTCACCAGTGGTGCTTGGTGTTCTACAGATGTATGCTATCCTGTGTTCACCAGTGGTGCTTGGTGTTCTCCAGATGTATGCTATCCTGTGTTCACCAGTGGTGCTTGGTGTTCTACAGATGTATGCTATCATGTGTTCACCAGTGGTGCTTGGTTTTCTACAGACGATGCTATCCTGTGTTCACCAGTGGTACTTGGTGTTCGTCAGGTGTATGCTATCCTGTGTTTTCTATGCGTCGTTGAGTGGTCGCTGGGAAACAATGAACCCTCACACGAAGCCATGTTATTGACACTGAAGACACTGCACTGAAGAATATCATGGCAGGTTTATAACACAGGCACACAAACACGTTTAAGACCGAATATTTACTTTGTGAAGAACTCTGAGCAGAAAACAGGAATAAGGAAAGACGCTTTTTTCAATATATCTAATAAGCTTTGAAGGTTGTTTTCAAGAAATGTCCATCATGAATGAAATACTCGGGTAAATCAAATATATTTGAAGAAACCACATTTAAATGTGTTTCTTTTAGTGAATTATATTTTGTCGACCTTCTTCCAGGCTCGAAACTGACATCGTCAAAACCGTCGACATTGTCTACATCTACAACAACAACGTCAACTACAACAGCACAGCCAATCACAGGTAAACAAACACCTAAAGACCGGCCTCTCGGCACTCAGAACCTCTCTCTACATCGGCCTCTCCTTAAACAGACCCTATCCCAATAACGGTGTCGGTACTCAGAACCTCTCTCTACATCGGCCTCTCCTTAAACAGACCCTATCCCAATAAAGGTGTCGGCACTCAGAACCTCTCTCTACATCGGCCTCTCCTTAAACAGACCCTATCCCAATAAAGGTGTCGGCACTCAGAACCTCTCTCTAAATCAACTATATATATAAGATTCTCTCTGGCTATCCCGACATCTCCGTATATCAGTCTCTCTTGCGTGAAGATCCAGGGTAGAATAGGTCTTCAGCAACCCATGCTTGTCTCCCCGTGAAGATCCGGGGTGGAATAGGTCTTCAGCAACCCATGCTTGTCTCCCCGTGAAGATCCGGGGTAGAATAGGTCTTCAGCAACCCATGTTTGCCGTAAAAGGCGACTAACGGGATCGGGTGCCCAGGTTCGCTGACTTGATTGATGCATGTCATCGTATGCCAATTGCGTGGATCGATGATCATGATGTCAATCACAGGATTGTCTGGTACAGACTAGATTATTTACAGACCGCCGTCACATTCTTGGCATATTGCGGCGTTAAACAACAAACAAACAGAACAAACAAAAGTCTCCCATTTCTGTAAATCAGCCAATCTCGCTATACCAACATATCTGTATTTCAGTCTCTCTCGGTATACCGACATTTCTGTTATCATGGGAAACTTTTGTTCTTTTAAACATTTTCAGAATCAACAACACAAGATGAGGAGATCAGGACGACCTCGAGAGGTAGACAAACTTTGCTATTTTCATTTTACATTTCACTCAAACAGTCTTCTGCCGCCTGGTCGTCTTAGAGCTTTTTCAAACATTCAATTGCATACATGTGAATGGGTTACCCACTACAATGAATGAACTTTGTGAAACTTAATATCGGTATAAGTGCCTGTACTGAAAAGTTGACAGATTGAAACAAACGTATTTAAAACCTATAAGTCTGGCTTCACCAAGAACAGCCTCTGAACCACTCACAATTGACGTCTCAGGAGAAATAGAATAATTAGCCACAATGTCGTACATAAATCACTTTTCTATCACATGGATTTATCAAGAACCATAAAGAATAACTCATAGCTATCCATTGACGTGTTTGGAAATCCTTTTGCTTGGCGAGAGCAAATATACATTCAGGATGATGATACAAATACCACATACACATTGCCAGTCTTGTCCTGACGGGTCACACCGGACTTTACATGTGTAACCATGGCGATAACCTGGCGCTCATCGCCTCCATCTATTCATACTGATATGAATGTTTCACAGAGCTCCCCGAGACGACATCGCTGCTGTCGACATCAGCCATGGTGGACGACAACGAGGATGAGGACGAGAGGGACGACGGAGCTGCCGATGACTCCATGGTCGACTGGGCCATCAGAGGTGACCCAGCCCTCTCCTTAATGTACATACACTCTAATCAAAGGCCATCAGAGGTGACCCAGCCCTCTCCTTAATGTACATACACTCTAATCAAAGGCCATCAGAGGTGACCCAGCCCTCTCCTTAATGTACATACACTCTAACCAAAGGCCATTAGAGGTGACCCAGCCCTCTCCTTAATGTACATACACTCTAACCAAAGGCCATCAGAGGTGACCCAGCCCGCTCCTTAATGTACATACACTCTAATCAAAGGCCATCAGAGGTGACCCAGCCCTCTCCTTAATGTACATACACTCTAATCAAAGGCCATCAGAGGTGACCCAGCCCGCTCCTTAATGTACATACACTCTAACCAAAGGCCATTAGAGGTGGCCCAGCCCTCTCCTTAATGTACATACACTCTAACCAAAGGCCATCAGAGGTGACCCAGCCCGCTCCTTAATGTACATACACTCTAACCAAAGGCCATTAGAGGTGACCCAGCCCGCTCCTTAATGTACATACACTCTAACCAAAGGCCATTAGAGGTGACCCAGCCCGCTCCTTAATGTACATACACTCTAATCAAAGGCCATTAGAGGTGACCCAGCCCGCTCCTTAATGTACATACACTCTAACCAAAGGCCATTAGAGGTGGCCCAGCCCGCTCCTTAATGTACATACACTCTAATCAAAGGCAATCAGAGGTAACCCAGCCCTCTCCTTAATGTACATACACTCTAATCAAAGGCCATCAGAGGTGACCCAGCCCTCTCCTTAATGTACATACACTCTAACCAAAGGCCATTAGAGGTGACCCAGCCCTCTCCTTAATGTACATACACTCTAATCAAAGGCCATTAGAGGTGACCCAGCCCGCTCCTTAATGTACATACACTCTAACCAAAGGCCATCAGAGGTGACCCAGCCCTCTCCTTAATGTACATACACTCTAATCAAAGGCCATTAGAGGTGACCCAGCCCGCTCCTTAATGTACATACACTCTAACCAAAGGCCATCAGAGGTGACCCAGCCCTCTCCTTAATGTACATACACTCTAATCAAAGGCCATCAGAGGTGACCCAGCCCTCTCCCTAATGTACATACACTCTAATCAAAGGCAATCAGAGGTGACCCAGCCCGCTCCTTAATGTACATACACTCTAACCAAAGGCCATCAGAGGTGACCCAGCCCGCTCCTTAATGTACATACACTCTAATCAAAGGCAATCAGAGGTAACCCAGCCCTCTCCTTAATGTACATACACTCTAACCAAAGGCCGTCAGAGGTAACCCAGCCCGCTCCTTAATGTACATACACTCTAATCAAAGGCCATCAGAGGTGACCCAGCCCGCTCCTTAATGTACATACACTCTAATCAAAGGCAATCAGAGGTAACCCAGCCCTCTCCTTAATGTACATACACTCTAATCAAAGGCCATCAGAGTTTACCCAGCCCGCTCCTTAATGTACATACACTCTAACCAAAGGCCATTAGAGGTGGCCCAGCCCTCTCCTTAATGTACATACACTCTAATCAAAGGCCATTAGAGGTGGCCCAGCCCTCTCCTTAATGTACATACACTCTAACCAAAGGCCATCAGAGGTAACCCAGCCCGCTCCTTAATGTACATACACTCTAATCAAAGGCCATCAGAGGTGACCCAGCCCGCTCCTTAATGTACATACACTCTAATCAAAGGCAATCAGAGGTAACCCAGCCCTCTCCTTAATGTACATACACTCTAATCAAAGGCCATCAGAGGTGACCCAGCCCGCTCCTTAATGTACATACACTCTAACCAAAGGCCATTAGAGGTGGCCCAGCCCTCTCCTTAATGTACATACACTCTAATCAAAGGCAATCAGAGGTGGCCCAGCCCTCTCCTTAATGTACATACACTCTAATCAAAGGCAATCAGAGGTGACCCAGCCCGCTCCTTAATGTACATACACTCTAACCAAAGGCCATCAGAGGTAACCCAGCCCTCTCCTTAATGTACATACACTCTAACCAAAGGCCATCAGAGGTAACCCAGCCCGCTCCTTAATGTACATACACTCTAACCAAAGGCTATCAGAGGTGACCCAGCCCTCTCCTTAATGTACATACACTCTAATCAAAGGCCATCAGAGGTGACCCAGCCCGCTCCTTAATGTACATACGCTCTAACCAAAGGCCATTAGAGGTGGCCCAGCCCTCTCCTTAATGTACATACACTCTAATCAAAGGCCATTAGAGGTGGCCCAGCCCTCTCCTTAATGTACATACACTCTAACCAAAGGCCATCAGAGGTAACCCAGCCCGCTCCTTAATGTACATACACTCTAATCAAAGGCCATCAGAGGTGACCCAGCCCGCTCCTTAATGTACATACACTCTAATCAAAGGCAATCAGAGGTAACCCAGCCCTCTCCTTAATGTACATACACTCTAATCAAAGGCCATCAGAGGTGACCCAGCCCGCTCCTTAATGTACATACACTCTAACCAAAGGCCATTAGAGGTGGCCCAGCCCTCTCCTTAATGTACATACACTCTAATCAAAGGCAATCAGAGGTGGCCCAGCCCTCTCCTTAATGTACATACACTCTAATCAAAGGCAATCAGAGGTGACCCAGCCCGCTCCTTAATGTACATACACTCTAACCAAAGGCCATCAGAGGTAACCCAGCCCTCTCCTTAATGTACATACACTCTAACCAAAGGCCATCAGAGGTAACCCAGCCCGCTCCTTAATGTACATACACTCTAACCAAAGGCTATCAGAGGTGACCCAGCCCTCTCCTTAATGTACATACACTCTAACCAAAGGCTATCAGAGGTGACCCAGCCCTCTCCTTAATGTACATACACTCTAATCAAAGGCAATCAGAGGTGACCCAGCCCGCTCCTTAATGTACATACACTCTAACCAAAGGCCATCAGAGGTGACCCAGCCCGCTCCTTAATGTACATACACTCTAATCAAAGGCAATCAGAGGTAACCCAGCCCTCTCCTTAATGTACATACACTCTAACCAAAGGCCATCAGAGGTAACCCAGCCCGCTCCTTAATGTACATACACTCTTATCAAAGGCCATCAGAGGTGACCCAGCCCGCTCCTTAATGTACATACACTCTAACCAAAGGCCATTAGAGGTGGCCCAGCCCTCTCCTTAATGTACATACACTCTAATCAAAGGCCATCAGAGGTGACCCAGCCCGCTCCTTAATGTACATACACTCTAACCAAAGGCCATTAGAGGTGGCCCAGCCCTCTCCTTAATGTACATACACTCTAATCAAAGGCAATCAGAGGTGGCCCAGCCCTCTCCTTAATGTACATACAATCTAATCAAAGGCAATCAGAGGTGACCCAGCCCGCTCCTTAATGTACATACACTCTAACCAAAGGCCATCAGAGGTAACCCAGCCCTCTCCTTAATGTACATACACTCTAACCAAAGGCCATCAGAGGTAACCCAGCCCGCTCCTTAATGTACATACACTCTAACCAAAGGCTATCAGAGGTGACCCAGCCCTCTCCTTAATGTACATACACTCTAACCAAAGGCTATCAGAGGTGACCCAGCCCTCTCCTTAATGTACATACACTCTAATCAAAGGCAATCAGAGGTGACCCAGCCCGCTCCTTAATGTACATACACTCTAATCAAAGGCAATCAGAGGTAACCCAGCCCTCTCCTTAATGTACATACGCTCTAATCAAAGGCCATCAGAGGTAACCCAGCCCGCTCCTTAATGTACATACACTCTAACCAAAGGCTATCAGAGGTGACCCAGCCCTCTCCTTAACGTACATACACTCTAACCAAAGGCCATTAGAGGTGACCCAGCCCGCTCCTTAATGTACATACACTCTAACCAAAGGCCATTAAAGGTGACCCAATCCTTTCCTTAATGTACATACACTCTAACCAAAGGCCATTAGAGGTGACCCAATCCTTTCCTTAATGTACATACACTCTAACCAAAGGCTATCAGAGGTGACCCAGCCCTCTCCTTAATGTACATACACTCAAACCAAAGGCCATCAGAGGTAACCCAGCCCTCTCCTTAATGTACATACACTCTAACCAAAGGCCATTAAATGTGACCCAGCCCTCTCCTTAATGTACATACACCCTAATCAAAGGCCATTAGAGGTGACCCAGCCCTCTCCTTAATGTACATACACTCTAACCAAAGGCCATCAGAGGTGACCCAGCCCTCTCCCTAATGTACATACACTCTAACCAAAGGCCATTAAAGGTGACCCAGCCCTCTCCCTAATGTACATACACCCTAACCAAAGGCCATTAGAGGTGACCCAGCCCTCTCCCTAATGTACATACACCCTAACCAAAGGCCATTAGAGGTGACCCAGCCCTCTCCTTAATGTACATACACTCTAACCAAAGGCCATCAGAGGTGACCCAGCACTCTCCTTAATGTACATACACTCTAACCAAAGGACATTAAAGGTGACCCAGCCCTCTCCTTAATGTACATACACTCCACCAAAAGGCCATCAGAGGTGACCCAGCCCTCTCCCTAATGTACATACACTCTAACCAAAGGCCATTAAAGGTGACCCAATCCTTTCCTTAATGTACATACACTCTAACCAAAGGCCATTAAAGGTGACCCAATCCTTTCCTTAATGTACAAACACTCTAACCAAAGGCCATTAAAGGTGACCCAATCCTTTCCTTAATGTACATACACTCTAACCAAAGGCCATTAAAGGTGACCTAATCCTTTCCTTAATGTACATACACTCTAACCAAAGGCCATTAAAGGTGACCCAATCCTTTCCTTAATGTACATACACTCTAACCAAAGGCCATTAAAGGTGACCCAATCCTTTCCTTAATGTACATACACTCTAACCAAAGGCCATTAAAGGTGACCCAATCCTTTCCTTAATGTACATACACTCTGACCAAAGGCCATTAAAGGTGACCCAATCCTTTCCTTAATGTACATACACTCTAACCAAAGGCCATTAAAGGTGACCCAATCCTTTCCTTAATGTACATACACTCTAACCAAAGGCCATTAAAGGTGACCCAATCCTTTCCTTAATGTACATACACTTTAAACAAAGTCCATTAAAGGTGACTCAGCTATCAGCTTATTGTACATACACCCCAACCTGTGATTTTGTTAGACATGGATGCTTCGACAAGATTGAGAATTAAAGAATACAATATGAGGTCACATCTGAGTCTCCACTGTGTACACGCATCTCCAGACACTGCGCTGTGTTTCATTCAGAAGGAGGCGACGAGGATGGAGACGAGGCTCTGTATGAGACAACATCACTTCGACCTTCACCTTCAACAATGCCAACCACCACCAACGCGGTTGCCCCAACTGAGAAGATGAAGGAGATTCCAGCCATCCTTGACATCATCCAGGAGGCCGGAGCAGGAGGTGAGTATCACACTGCCTGTATAGACTGATAGCGTGCGGAGATACTGTTTCCTTGACATCATCCAGGAGGCCGGAGCAGGAGGTGAGTATCACACTGACTGTATGGACTGATAGCATGCGGAGATACTGTTTCCTTGACATCATCCAGGAGGCCGGAGCAGGAGGTGAGTATCACACTGACTGTATGGACTGATAGCATGCGGAGATACTGTTTCCTTGACATCATCCAGGAGGCCGGAGCTGGAGGTGAGTATCACACTGACTGTATGGACTGATAGCGTGCGGAGATACTGTTTCCTTGATATCATCCAGGAGGCCGGAGCAGGAGGTGAGTATCACACTGACTGTATAGACTGATAGCATGCGGAGATACTGTTTCCTTGACATCATCCAGGAGGCCGGAGCAGGAGGTGAGTATCACACTGCCTGTATAGACTGATAGCGTGCGGACTGCGGAGTCAGTCTGGATGTATTGGGTGTAGAGCGTCACGCCCAGCAACAAGTCAATCTGGATGTATTGGGCGTAGAACGTCACGCGCAGCAACAAGTCAATCTGGATATGTATTGAGTATAGAACGTCACGCACGCTACATGTCAATCTGGATGTATTAAGTATAGAACGTCACGCCTAGCAACAAGTCAGTCTGGATGTATTGGGTGTAGAACGTCACTCCCAACAACAAGTCAATCTGGATGTATTGGGTGTAGAACGTCACTCCCCACAACAAGTCAATCTGGATGTATTAGATGTAGAACGTCACGCCGAGCAACAAGTCAATCTGGATGTATTAGGTGTTGAACGTCACGCCCAGCAACAAGTCAGTCTGGATGTATTGGGTGTTGAAAGTCACGCCCAGCAACAAGTCAATCTAGATGTATTTGGTGTAGAACGTCACGCCGAGCAACAAGTCAGTCTGGAATGTATTGGGTGTAGAACGTCACGCCCAGCAACAAGTCAGTCTGGATGTATTGGGTGTTGAACGTCACGCCCGCAACAAGTCAATCTGGATGTATTGGGTGTTGAACGTCACGCCCGGCAACAAGTCAATCCTGATGTATTGGGTATAGAACGTCACGCCTAGCAACATGTCAGTCTGGATGTATTGGGTGTAGAGCATCACGCCCAGCAACAAGTCAATCTGGATGTATTGGGTGTAGAACGTCACGCGCAGCAACAAGTCAATCTGGATATGTATTGAGTATAGAACTTCACGCACGCTACATGTCAATCTGGATGTATTAAGTATAGAACGTCACGCCTAGCAACAAGTCGGTCTGGATGTATTGAGTATAGAACGTCACACCCGCTACAAGTCAATCTGGATGTTTTGAGTATAGAACGTCACACCCGCAACAAGTCAAGCTGGATGTATTGCGTATAGAACGTCACACCCCGCAACAAGTCAATCTGGATGTATTGAGTATAGAACGTCACACCCGCTACAAGTCAGTCTGGATGTATTGAGTATAGAACGTCAAACCCGCTACAAGTCAGTCTGGATGTATTGAGTATAGAACGTCACACCCGCTACAAGTCAATCTGGATGTATTGAGTATAGAACGTCACACCCACCAACAGTCAGTCTGGCCGCGTGCAGAACGACGTCGGTGCCGTCACCTATGCTGAGGCACGTCCCTGTACATCACTGGTGTAGGCGGGGACTTGACACGGCAGATACGTACAACATCACCGACGACTGTGAAGTAGAGACCAGGGACGTGGCATTACCTCCGTAATTACTGCGCCAGTATATAATCATTAAGGTGGCGAGGAGGGACACTATAAATATCAGTTAGTTTCTCTTTATTGTGGCCCTTTAGTAATTTGGCATCGTTATGTACTGGATGTCTGTGTTCTACAATGGACACACGTAAATATTTAAAGTCAAAAACACATAAGTGCCAAGAACGTCGTGTATATCACGGCAACTTCTCAGACAGTGATTGAAATGTCGATACAGTGATAGCACACATGTGCTTAACCCAAGTGTACATCACCGTAACTTCACAGACAGCGATTGAAATGTTGATAAAATGATTTATTACCCACGTGGTGAAGATACATGTGGTAAGATACTAAATCGGTACGTCACACGTGTTTCGTACAAGGTTGACCTTGTTTTATTCGTTTTGATTGGATAACTATGACCTCTGTCACATTGGGAATACTTTTTTCATTCATAAAAAATCGCGAGACATTTTGCAACTACATGGCAGAACTGAAGCAATCTCATGTGAGCGAGAGATATTAACAAACACTTTATTAAACCAAACACGATAGTCACACGCATCAAATTCGGTTTGCATCCTATATAAGTTATGTATTGAGCTAGATCTATATCCATTTACAATGTACGAGTACCGTTCAATAGATCCAGGGTCCCAATGAGCGTGACGCACCCGACTACTTTCGCAACTTCCAATTTGATTTAACGTAAAAGGATAAGCGTGGTGAAATGAAGTCAGTTTAAACTACCTGGACAGATATCTACACTTACTTGGGATGATCCGGCTGTGCCATCAGTGTCCTCTTCGAAGCGTATTTTGTAGCACATTTTCGGGAGTTGTTTGTTTACGAATGCACAACCAGATCACTCAAAGTGAACATTTCCGATACAAATCATTCGAAAAATCCGTAGAAGTGTGCCTGTTTTCTGATTATGTGGCCCAAAATATCACAAAGGTGAACAATAGCATTCTCTATCTCTAGCGTAAAACGCTGAGTAGATCACGGTTGTCTTTTCTTATTCCGGTGGTGACCTTGCCCTTCGTTCCTAGCTGTCACTGACATGCAAGCAGACTTGAGTTTGTTTATTTTCACGTCTTCAGTAAAGGGTGGTACAGTAATATGAATGTCTTTGGCGAACACTCTGATTTCCCTCTTCCAAAATGGTACGGACATGATATAAATTCAGCTGATAGATCAAGGAAACCGAAACATTTTGGATGCACAGACGGGACCCAGGCAGTGCGAGTGACCGACTGTTCGTCCGGTATTTAAAGCGCGGCGCTAATGTGACTTTTCAAATTTTCTTATAGGTGTCCTGCGTACTAACAACATGGCGCTTGAATTCTCATAAGTTGAAGAAATTCTTCCAAAAGGATCTTAAGCGTCGGTGCTGTTATGTTTGCAAACACATCTGCAGGCGCATGTTGTTAATGCGTATGCATAGGAATGTCAACAATGCCCATATTTGGGCATATATCAATATTTATGCGCAACCAGATTTTGCAACCGGTTTAAGTTTGGTCTGTCAACGAACAAAAGTTGTTATGTATTTACACTTATATACCTATTCAACTTGGGTAATAAATAAAATACCACACTCATTCTCGTTACATACCATTTTTAGGAAACTCGTGAACTTTCAATGTTATCTGACCTCGCTTTCGCTCGGTCAGATACCATAGAAAGTCCACTCGTTTCGTAAAAATGGTATCTAACTAGAATGAGTGTAGTATTTTCTATTTATTACATACGAGGGCAAACATGTCGGGGTTCATAAAAATGATCATCATATGTGTCCTAGGATCATATCTCGTCACGAGACAACGGTGTATTGTTTCTGTCAACCGGAGGGCGTTGTTGACGTCATTCGAATTTTATTGGGAAGTGAGGTTGGAATGACGTCACACTAGAAACGACGTCATAGCTAAAGATTGTTGACGTCATTTGGCAAATTGTGTTTCAGACGGCAGCCCATGTGATGACGTCAGCTGCTTGTACGGCGGCATCTGCAAGGCTGATGGAGACAGTGTCACGTGCGCATGCTCCATCAACTGCACTGGTCGAGCCACGCGCCCCATCTGTGGCAGTGACGGTCAGTGGTACAGGAACAGGTGCGAGATGCAGTTACAAGCCTGTCAGAGTCAGGACAACATCACCCCTGGCAACAACAAGAGCTGTGAGTGTTAGGCTAGGGTGGGGTAGGGTGGGAAAATGAGGATTTGGGTGTAGGGTGTGGCAGTGGTTGGGTGGTAGTTAAAGGACGGGGGCAAGAGTGTGTGAGAGTGAGTGAGTGAATTTGAATTTACATCCCTTTTAATTTACAACACGGTGTGTCAGGTTAATGTGGGAGGAATTTCTGTAGTGATGCAGGTCTAAAACCTTTACCATGTTGGTAAATGGTGCTTACATATATAGGAGGACAAGCAGGGCGAATGTTGGATCCACGATCATTGGCTTTTGTCCAAGCGACACAACTCAATATCTGCACAACCATTTGCAGCTCTATAGACGCCTGTCCCCCGTGTCCCTTGCGTGAGTGGGATGGACAGTAGGACATGTCGAGAGTTACAGGAGGACGTCATCACCTTGTACAATCCAAAGATAACTCATACTTTGTAGGTCGTGTGACGCTTAACGAAACCTTTTGCGGTTCGTTTGTAATTCAATAATTTCTAATGTAATATTTTCCATTGCAGGCCAAGACTCCCAGACCGGAGCCCCGCTGTGTCCCGAGAAGAATGGTACGTTGATATGAATGAGTCACTAACACCATCGCATCATAAACCAAATGAAACATATTCTTTTCACACGTAACACAAGAATTACTGTTGTATTCCTGAATAAAGGTATATCGTTGATTGCCTTTTTGGTATTAACACAGTACAAAAATACTTTGTCCATACGTTTCTATTTTGAATACGTGCCACTGTTATTTCAGCAAAAGCAATGTGGGGCAGCTGGTCGCCATGGGTAGCATCAGGCGATGTGGATGTCCGCTTCCGGTCATGTGACATCGACGGGAATTCTCTGGGCAAGATGGTGACGTGCAGGGGTCCAAGGGTCGAGGTTCGATCCTGCAACATCCGGGACCAGGGATCGTGCAGATCGTGGAATGGATCTACCAGTGGGAAGTTCTCGTACAGATGTGATGGCGTGGACGTCCGGGATATCAGCAACGCAGGTGCGACCACGTGATCTGACAGCTTGAGTACAAATAGCACAATAGCACTGTAGCACACACCCCTGTAACATACGTCGATTAACAGAGGCCTGCAAGTCATTGGATAAGTGCCAAAGGCGGGGGTGGGGTGGGGGGGGGGGGGGGGGGGATCTATTTATTGTCTTTGGTGGTAATTTGGTGGTAATTTATACAGAAATAAAGATTTTTTTCGAAATAAAAAGGGGGGGTGCGCGGCTTTTTTGAAAAGGGGGTGGGGGTGCCAATGAAGATCTATTTATTGTCTTAGGTGGTAATTTATACAGAAATAAAGATTTTTTTCGAAATAAAAAGGGGGGGTGCGCGGCTTTTTTGAAAAGGGGGTGGGGGTGCCAATGAAGATCTATTTATTGTCTTAGGTGGTAATTTATACAGAAATAAAGATTTTGTTCGAAATAAAAAGGGGGGGGGGGGGGGGGGGGGGTGGTGCGCACCCCCCCCCCCCCCCCCCCCCCCCCCCCCCCCCCCCCCCCCCCCCCCCCCTCTGTATCCGCCCATGAGTGCAAAAAGGACGAGTCTATCTTGTCAAATCGACAGGAGAATCATGAAGCACCAGACAAGACCCGAACACCTGGCGCCAAGCTTCCATTATATCCACCCAGCTATCGACCAGTGTTGAGTCAGCGATGTGAATATTTCGAATCAAGAAGAATCCAGACAGATATTAATTAGTTCCTGTCCGTACTGTCATTGTATAATGTAACGCGACACATGCCCGGCAGGAGGCGAATGGTATGGTAGGGATATAATGTTATTCGTCACCAGACTGTTACAATTAATTCATATTTGCATCAGTTGTGGCAATGTGTATCAAGGTTCGGGAAGTCGTATTGCTGGCGCCTTCAAAAACCACATGCGTAACACAATATCTACATACGTAACACATAGCATTGGGGGAGAGACAAACATATTTGTTATTAAGTATTATGTTTTATTCTTTCGTTGCAGAAATGACGTTTGGTCCAGCAGCGAATGGAGGTACGATGCGTAATAGTAATAATACTAGCACTAATAATAACAATGACAACGAAAACAACAACAATGATCATACTGATACTAATACTAATGCAACTTATGATAAAAAGGTCACGTGAGGTGAAATTGGGCTTAACATCGTGTTCAGACGTCGTGTGTGTATGTGCGTGTGTATGTGCGTGTGTGTGTGTGTGTGTGTGTGTGTGTGTGTGTCCATTGAGATAGCATACCGCAGTTTTTAACATGAATACTCTACTCAAAAACAGTATACTGACTCTTGCGACGACCAGTCCTTGTTTTAGACCCTCAATGCCACGCGCCAGACAGGGTTCTATCTTTTAACCTCTTTTGGTATGGCGGGCGGACGCGCTACCACTACCACGGAGGCGGTCAATAATAATAGTAATAATAATAATAATAATGATAATAATTATGTTCTTGCTGTACCTTCAGGGGACTTCTGCCGCTACTCTCTGTACGACCTGAAGCGAAGGAAGATGGTGTTCTCCAGCTTCAACCTGTCCCAGGTGGTGTCCAAGGGCCATCTCAGACGATGGTGCTCCAAACAAGAAGCCTTCTTGGTATCCCACACTGCACTGCACGTCTGCAAGCGCCACCTACAGGACATCTGCAAGTCCTCCCGGAAGTGCAAGGGCTCCAAGCTGGCGCGACGACAGAGGAACCTCGGCGACTACACCCACAGCTGCTGGAGGGACTTCATCCTCGGCAACAGGATCCCCTCCGGCATATCCGACATCCACTCCACCTTCTCCTTCCTCTGTCAGAGATTCGCCCCCGACAGCAAGTGGGGGAAAGTGTTCGGCCACAAGAGGGCGTACTTTGGTACAATCTACGACACCGCCCGCCGTATTCCCGTTGTGTCCTTGGCCAAGGTCACGCAGCTTGGAGAGGACACCTGGCCCAAAACCGACTTCATGATCGAGAGAGGTTAGTGACAAATACAGGGAACAGACATTGCACAAGATACCCTGCTCAATCTTTTACAGAAATATGTGTTTGGTATAACTGTTTTGGGGGAGTCGGGGTAGTCTGGTGATTAAAGCCTTCACTAGTCACGCTGAAGACCCTGGTTTTATCACTAGCATGGTTTCATGGTTCAGCGTTGTCCATTTCTCATGTTCCCTGGCGAGATGTTACCGGGAATATTGCTAAAACGCGGTAATGCCTCTGTAACTGTGTGAGCGTGGAGGAGGGAGCGGGTAGAGGAGTGTTTAGAATGGTGGTGAGGTACACTAAAAGTTGATGATGCTGAGTGGAGCCTGTGAGTGAGTATGGTTTTACGCCGCTTTTAGAAATATTCCAGCAATATCACGGCGGGGGACACCAGAAACGGGCTTCACACATTGTATGCATGTTGGGAATCGAACCCAGGTCTTCGGTGAGACGAGTGTGGTGTTTCTGGAGACAATCATGTCTGTGATTTATTTGGCAGATGGTACATTGGGCGGTTCACTCAGACACACTTTTTATACGGGGTTTCTTGAGTTTCTTCATGGAGTGAAAGTACGTTTTAAACATCGGTTATTTCAAGCTTCAATTGATAAAAATGTGCTTATCCTCGTGTGTTTCCGTGTGGTGAATATCATATACATGTAGTAGGAATAAACAATATGTATCATCTCGACAAAGACTCGCGTAATACAACTGTGATTCCTAACGTATGATATATATTTACAATACGGAAACACATTCGACTTATTATCTATATATACATTTTTCTCAGTTCCTGCAAATATGACCCTGCTCTTTCACCGCTTTGAATTGGTTCGATAATTCAAGAAACATTCTCGCGACGGCTTGGACCTTTGGCATTGACTGCAACCTACTGATTGACCGAAAAATATAATCTTCGACCTCTCGTTGTGCTATATGATGATAAAAAGCCGTGATTAATAGTTTTACTAACTCTGCACGTGTAGAGTCTCCCGAGTTTAGTTAACATAGTGTCTACTGTATGCGGCAAACACACGCACATGTCCATACGCTTATTAATATAGAGGCTGCTGGATATGGCAAACATACACACATGTCCATACACTTATTAACATAGAGGCTGCTGGATATGGCAAACATACACACATGTCCATACACTTATTAACATGGAGGCTGCTGGATATGGCAAACATACACACATGTCCCTACACTGATAATGTCAAGTGAATAACATTTAACATTTAATCAAGAAACAAACATCCATCAAAAGATACAATTAATGTCAATTGAAAGCTGACACATATTACTGTCTCTCCACAAATTACCAATGATTAAATACTCGATTTATTCTTAAGAGACTCCAAAGCTGAAGCAGCCATGTTGTCTACAACACGTCTACACTGTGTGTACTATATGTCTACAACGCTGTTTGTAATGATATTATGGAATAACGCTCATCTCGCTGTCTGTGGAGGTTGGTACCTCTGTCGTAGATGGCACTGAAATACTATATATGTGTTCCACGAAACTTGGCCAAGGTCGAATGGAATGCATGCTGTCCTCTTCAGTGGACTTAAACCAGAGACGTGCATTTTCTTCATAGCTGATATTTACGATGGTTTCAGTTTTCGTGGCCACAGGAACACAATTGTTTCAGTTCCCATGGATTCAAGACAACGCCTGTTTTAGCTCCCGTGGCCAAAAGAACCACGATTCTTTCAGTTCCCAAGGCCACAAGGACGCGCTTGTTTCAGTTCCCATCGCCACAAGAACACGAATGTCTAAGTTTCCATGGCCACAAGAACGCGATTATTTCAGTCTCATTGCCACAAAAACCTGATTTTTCAGCTCCCATTGCCAAGAACACGATTGGTACAGTTACCTTGACTACATGAAGACGATTATTTCAGTTCCGAAAGCCACAAAAAACACAATTGTTTTAGCTCCCATCGCCACAAGAACATATTTCCTTCAGTCCCCGTCTTCTTCATAGTTACCAATGCCATGTTGCCATCTCAGAACATGTTTTAATCATGTTCAAATTATTTATCATAATCTTCAGGAATCTTTCTCAAAGCATTACACCCTAAATATCAATTTGGTAGTTCTAGACATCCATTGTCGGCGGTGACTGAGTACTAACAAGAAATATATGGCTTGATAAGAGGAACAACGTCTCAAGCCGTTTGGTCTCAGATCAGAAGAGAACTTTTGTTTTAAGCCCACATGTTTTCTGTGCACAATCTAACAGGTCCTACATTGTACACTCCCGGTCCTCTTCAGTAGGTTCTGGCGACAAACACAACCTACAGGGGACCTAGCCAACCCCAAATTAGTGAGTGAATATGTATGTATGTTGATAATGTTGGACATGACCCTGGGAGTGGACTGTAATCAAACATTGATTTATACCTGACGGCTGAATGCAATGTTAGCAGAGACTGTGATGGCAAAGCTCCAGTGTGTCTGTAATTGTTGTGCAGGCTATTGCTCACAACTACCCACCCCGACAGTCCACGCCATGTTACTCAATCACTGCCACCGCAAATTTATTTCTACTATCGGCCAGTCTGGGCTGTCCAATTACTGGACAATCACATCCAGGTTCTCCATCCCCAGGGCTACGCTGCTAGATATAAACCGGTGTGTCTGTCAGGACGTGGACGGTCCACTTGGGCAAAGTGATGAATGGAGAGAGGAAATGCAAAATGATGACAATTGGATAGTTGTAGATCACCCAATTGATTATAAATGGCGTCTAAAGATTCCATCAGACAGCTGAGAGATGGAGAAGGCCTGGGCGCTGGGAGAGTCTGACAAAAGACTGTTCAACTTTCAGATGAAGCAGCATGGCATGGGCTGGACACCGGGGAATGTAGAGACTTTATATCACAGCGATGTTGAATAACTTGCATTGTAATCTGGCAGATTTGGGAGAGCAAGAAGCTTACCGAGATCCACTTTTCCTCAATTATTAATTAGACGTTGTCATAAATCGGCTTCAATTTAGTCCTGGTCGGTCTCTCTCTGTGTGTGTATCTGTGTGTGTATCTGTGTGTGTGTGTGTGTGTGTGTGTGTGTGTGTGTATCTGTGTGTGTGTGTGTGTGTGTGTGTGTGTGTGTGTGTGTGTGTCTGTCTCTCTCTCTCTCTGTGTCTCTGTGTGTGTGTGTGTGTGTCTCTCTCTCTCTCTGTGTCTCTCTGTGTGTCTCTCTCTCTCTCTCTCTCTCTCTCTCTTTGATGTATCTTAAAACTGGTATTTTTCTCTTGTCTTCTCTGTGCTCCCTGTGCATTGGTGATGTTCAAGGTATTTGTATGATTAAACCCCAATTAATACTGTCCCTTCGGTGTCATTGTCTAAATGACACAGGTTCCCTCTCATCTCCCTCAGTGTTGGCATATACCACCGTAAACAATGTAAATATTAAAACATGTATATTTCAAAAATTATTTTTTTCATTTCATGTGCTGTTTGATCATATGTTGATGTCTATTTCAGGTCTGATTGATGAGCCGATGACGTTCAGTTGGCTACTGAAGAGAGAGCGCGGTTTGGCCACGATGTCCGACGCACAGAAATGCGACACAGACTGGGACTGCGACCTCGGCATGAAGCAGGCCCTCCCCGTCGACTACGACATGTCTGGCTACCGAATCGCGCACCTCATGTGGCCTGAGCTCATCGGAGCGGATGTAGACGCCAAACTGTCGACCTTCACCTTGACCAACGCTGCCCCAATGCACCCATCACTGTACCCGGCCTGGCGCCACGCTGTCACGGAGATACGGTCTTACGCCATCAACCACTGCAAAATTCCCGTCGACGTTGACCCGACGACAGGGCCGTCGCGACCAGAGATGTACATAGCTTCGGGCGCTGTGCCTTCTAAGGACCCAGAGATCACTATCGGCAATGATGTCCATGTCCCTTACCTCTTCTGGTCAGCGGTCTGCTGTTTCAGGGACGACAAAGTCCAGGCTTTCGCCGTGTACGCCCGCAACATCGGCGACAACCCCGTCATTGTGGCCCCGGTGCTGCAGCTTGAGTCCATCCTCCAAGACATGTACAATGTCAGAAAGCGTGACGTCAATCTGCGTATTTTCCCTGCAGGGGACGGGGCGTGTGCGGAGCTTAGGAATGACGTGTCACGGTCTATCAACTTGTAGATGTGACGGACTATTTGACTGACATGTTAAATATCAAACTTATCATCGGTCAAACTATGGATCATTAAGATGTTACACATCTTCAGGTTTAGAAGTAGCCCGGAGATATATACAGAACTCTTTGTGTTGGATGTTAACCTTGTACTGTACGAGGAACTGATGCGGATGTTGATTTTGTGGAGGAATGTTCATCTGAGAATTATATAACTGGTTACCACCAAGGTAACCGATTAATTTACTCATTAGGAATCGTATCATGGGGATTATACCGCCGCTTCAGGCGGCTGCGGAATTGTGCTGATGAAGAGGAATCATCTGAGATGAAATCGTGAGGCACTGCACGGGTCCCACGTGCAGCGCCCAGTGTCCTTATAGTTAATCGTAGCTTTTGATGTCGTCATCATGTGTCATGTGACCCGCTGGTCAACCCGGGAGTAGTTGCAGAGACCTTTATGTGTGGGTTGTCTCCCTTGCGGAGGATCTCGATGGAGATTCACACAGGATATGGTTCTGTTACGTTCAAATGTTTCCGTAATCGGCTTTAGTCAATGGATGTTAGATGCTGAATATTTGAGTCTTGATATTTACCCAGCAATCCCCTGTACGTTACCTAGTAACCAGACCAGGTAGCACCGTGTTGATAAAACATGGCGTGTCTTGTTGCCATGTCGCCGAGCCAAGTAACGCCGTACATGAATCGGCACAGTTAGTACGTCATGGGAGTGATGACGCGATAATAGCGTTTGAGGCATTTACACAATCATAGGGTCCAGCATTTACAAGGCTAGAGACAGGGTCTATCACTAACAAGGCTAGAGACAGGGTCTATCACTAACAAGGCTAGAGACAGGATCCATCACTTACAAAGCTAGAGACATGGTCCATCTCTAACAAAGCTAGAGACAGGATCCATCGCTTACAATGCCAGAAGCAGGGTCCATGTGATGGTATAATTATTTAATTATTCACATCAGTTGTATTGGAAGTCTGGTTCGTTGATACATCTTTGACAGCTTCATATGCATATATATTCCATCGTTCTGTATATTGCTACTTGTCATATAATGTTGCTTGTGGTAGTCGTGTGTGGAAACTGTGTCATATGTACAGATATCAGTAGATTGTGTACTCTTCTCATTCCAACGAGACAACTCACCGTCATTAAATGAAATGGATATTTTTAAATTTAGCGCTCAGCACGTCAAGGTTTTATTTGTTGGGTGTTTGCATTGCACTATTTCTACAGCTACATGATTGATGGTGGTCTCAGAAGGAATGCTGGGTAGGTAGAGCGGTCTAGACTACTTCAGAAGGATCTAGGTAATGTCAGAATGATCTAGCCGATGCCAGAATGATCTAGGTGATGTCGGAATGAGGCGATTGTCAAAAGGAATGCTGGAAGGAATTGAGGGATGACTAAAGATTCGCGATATTGAGTCTAAGGTTGCTTGAAGACTTTGGGGTGGTCGAAGGGTCTAGTGTTGTCAGAAGGGTTCAGCGGTACATAAGAGTCTTGGGGTGTTTGAAGATTCTAGATATGTTGACGGGCCTAAGGGGTGGTCGAAAGGGTCTAGAGTTGTCTGAAGGGTCAAAGGGTTCTCTGAAGGATCTAGAGTTGTAAGAATGGTCGAGGTGGGTACAATTATCGGGTGTTTAAAGATTCTAGAAAGCGTTTAAGGCTCTCATAATGGATTTAGGATTCTCTTTAGGGCCTAGGGCCTGTTCGAAAGGTCTTGGGATTGTCCTGGGGTTTGGCTAATGCGAGAAGGGCTTGGAGTGTGTGAAAAGACCGAGGGGGTGATTGTGAGGCACGGTGGCGTCTGGAGGAGAAACTGATAAAGAAAAAGCTCAAAACATACAAACGTATCAGATCTTCTATCCTGCCAACATTTTGAGCAGTTTTAAGTGAGCTAAATAACTCAGCATGATACGTCTAGTGATGGGATGTCCACCCCATTGTGTCATTCAGCTACCAGGACGTATACATTTACTCAAGCTTTCCTAATCAAATCATACCGCACCATTATCATAAGTCTCTATCAGCTTACTCGCGAGGTACATGATTTCATATGGAGCGTATGCGTGCGCACTGCGAGAGAGCGCCATCTACCTGTAGATCTGTAGCGCGTACATACACCTGCACTGTTGACTATTGTTCCGGTAGTGATTGATATACGACTTCTAGACGTAGACACTAGTATATTTTATACCAACGTAGTTCCCCTCGTGTTTCTCTTTAGATCTGTGATACAACTAAATATTGGTTATTATGTTACAAAGTGCACACTGTTGCTTATTATTCCTATTGTTGCAATAAAGTATATTTCTTTTCAGTTTGTAGTCTGGGTTGTTTGTGGTCTTCGCCATTGTCACTGTGTTTGGGTATTGCTTACATCCCCAGCACCTGAAACCAGGTTATTGGGACATGCAGGAGTCCATGTTTGTAACGACAATGTGACTTGCAAAATAATGTTTGTAACAAAGATGTGACCTGAAAAATAATGTTTGTAACGAGGATGTGACCTGCAAAATAATGTTTGTAGCGAAGGTGTTACTTGCAAAATCATGTTTGTAACGGAGGTGTTACTTGCAAAATAATGTTTGTTTGTGACGGAGGTGTGACATGCAAAATAACGCTTGCAACAAAGATGTGACTTGCAAAATAATGTTTGTAGCGAAGGTGTTACTTGCAAAATCATGTTTGTGCCGGAGGTGTGACTTGCAAAATAATGCTTGTAACGGAGGTGTGACCTGCAAAAATAATGCTTGTAACGGAGGTGTGACTTGCAAAATAATGTTTGTAACGGAGGTGTGACTTGCAAAATAATGTTTGTAACGGAGGTGTGACCTGCAAAAATAATGTTTGTAACGGAGGTGTTACTTGCAAAATCATGTTTGTGCCGGAGGTGTGACTTGCAAAATAATGCTTGTAACGGAGGTGTGACCTGCAAAAATAATGCTTGTAACGGAGGTGTGACTTGCAAAATAATGTTTGTAACGGAGGTGTGACTTGCAAAATAATGTTTGTAACGGAGTTGTGACTTGCAAAATAATGTTTGTAACGGAGGTGTGACCTGCAGAATAATGTTTGTAACGGAGGTGTGACTTGCAAAATAATGTTTGTAACGGAGGTGTGACTTGCAAAATAATGTTTGTAACGGAGTTGTGACTTGCAAAATAATGTTTGTAACAGAGGTGTGACCTGCAAAATAATGTTTGTAACGGAGGTGTGACTTGCAAAATAATGTTTGTAACGGAGGTGTGACTTGCAAAATAATGTTTGTAATGGAGTTGTGACTTGCAAAATAATGTTTGTAACGGAGGTGTGACCTGCAAAATAATGTTTGTAACGGAGGTGTGACTTGCAAAATAATGTTTGTAACGGAGGTGTGACTTGCAGAATAATGTTTGTAACGGAGGTGTGACCTGCAAAATAATGTTTGTAACGGAGGTGTGACTTGCAGTATAATGTTTGTAACGGAGGTGTGACTTGCAGAGCTCTATTCTTGTAATGTCCAGGAGGGGTTGATGTTTGTAATGGTAGTGTTTACTCATAATACTGAGAGGCAATAGACCTATAGTACACGTTATATAGTAATGGGTGTATATACGATAATAAGGTAGCATATTTGGAACTTCTTAGGTTCAATAAGTACACAGTTTACTTTTCGTTACTACATTGTTACTTGACATTAACGAAGCAAATTTCTGTAAACTTGGATAACGGACATAATATTTATCAATGAACTGTTTTCTGAGTTCAGCATCCAACGGACATATTAGAAAGAAATGATATTCATTTCCTACAGTGTTCAACTCACAAAACTGACAAACTCTATGTTCTCTTAATATCCACATATATCTTCCTGTCGACGAAGAGTTTGTGTGAGCTACATCTGAATCTTGCAAGTGCTGTTCGAAATGTTTTAGTTTTAGATTAAATAGGAACTCCTCTTAACAGAAACTGTTTTTAACAGTGGGAATAACTTGATAGTTTATTGGATAATGACACAGAATCTACATCAATGAAATGACCTGTTCAGTCTATATATTACCATAACCACATGAACTGAGTTGATGTTTGTCACGTATTCAAGTATTAACTAATGTATAACTAACGATTGTTATCACAACGTGAAACCATCATGGATGAAGCATACGCCAAAATTGAGCAAAAGGAGAACATGAATGTCTTACGGAGTTAAGTCAGTGCGTGATGTTGTCGTCGATGTTGTGCACGAACTGACGAAGAGGAAACAGAATTAGAATAAACCCATTCTGTCACAGCCAGCTGTCATTCAAAGTCTGGCTGCTCCATCCATGAAATGTTGGTTACTGTTCCCACTGACAAGGCCTCAGATAACATGACCATTGTATGTAAGCATCACTCTATCAATTGTTGATCACAGAACGCGGTGTAAGTGACATGTCAAATATTGCCACATATAAAGCAAGTATGTTAACTGAGAAAGAGATACACCAAAAATATTCATCAGTACCATCAACTTTTGAAGTTACTTTAAAACCTTTCCTCTTTGGTACTGAATCCATACAAAAAGAAATATATTGGTTCTAATGAAGGTGTGACATGCAGAGTCCGACATTTTTAATGACATTGTGACATGCAGAAATCCGGTGATCCTTGCTCCGCAACCACTGGTCTGTCTGAACAAGACTTGATTATTGCCAAAACGCTGTGATTGGCTGAAAATATGACTGACTGGGTATAATTCAGTCACCAGGAGGGGGCATGCGAGCCCGGTGTCAGTAGGGGTGGGGGAGGAGTGAGGGGGTGAGCATCATTCACTGTTGTAACCAGAAGGCGTGACACCCTATGGTCTTGAGTCGGAAGACGTGCAGCACTGTAGGGACAAGAAGGGAGTGGGGAGTGTGCAATACAGTGCTCACTCCATATTTCATGTGCGTTCTCTTGCTATTTATTCAAAGCGAGACAGAAGCAAAAAGACAAGAGGAATTCTTGACTGATTTGGTTTATTGAATGGCTGTCCATAACATAAGTTCAGCAATGTTATACATCACATTGGTATACTGTGAACATGACAACATTCAAACTCCACAAACACTCCACCGGCATTCCAACACACACCTACAGCTGACAATGTTATCCTAGAGTCAACAAACACTGAGACACATGTAAGTAAAAATTTGACCACTGCCGAAGGCTTTGAATCAATGTCAGTTATGACTGGATTGTAATTTCTCTGTGTCGTAAGACAGAAAGAAGACTATATTTTGATATCCTTTGTTCGCAATACTGTACCTGTCACGAGTGCTCTATCTTTCACATAGAACATGTGGACACAAGCAATTAACAATGAAGTGTCCATGATCCCCAGACACACAGCAGCCAGCAGATACTGGTACTTCTGAGGCACATAGCAACCGGTGAACCTGGTAGTCCTGGCAACCATAACAATCAGCAGATCCTGGTACTTCTGACCACATAGCAACCAGCGAAACCAGGTAGTCCTGGCAAGCATAACAATCAGCAGACCCTGGTAATTCTGAGGCACATAGCAACCAGCAAAACCAGGTAGTCCTGGCAACCATATCAATCAGCAGATCCTGGTACTTCTGAGGCACATAGCAACTGGTGAAACCTGGTAGTCCTGGCAACCATAACAATCAGCAGATCCTGGTTCTTCTGAGGCACATAGCAACCAGCGAAACCAGGTAGTCCTAGAAAGAATAGGTCTCATCACCCGACAAATGTGGCCTCATCTCTTCTTCTTCAGTGAGGTCACACACCCTAAAAACGTCATCTCCGAGCAATTGTAACTCACAGTTTCTTAAGAAAATCAAATTTGAACATAGACAGGCACTCATAACAGGGATGGAATCTCATCAAAACCAACTTCACCAGATGCAACAACCTTCTATGGAGGGGCTGTATGATGTCCTCAAAGAAAGGTTTCAAATCTGAGTATCAGATCTGTTTGTTTGTTTGTTTAACGCCACACTCAGCAATATTCCAGCTTTATGATGGCGGTCTGTAAATAATCGAGTCTGGACCAGATAACCAAGTGATTGACATCATGAACATCAATACACACAATTGGGATATGATGACATGCATCAACCAAGTCAGCGAGCCTGACCACCCGATCCTGTTAGTCGCCTCTTACGACAAGCATAGTCACCTTTTACAGCATGTATGGGTTGCTGAAGACCTACTCTAACCACATCTGAATGTAATGAGACTGAACAATGATATCACACATACATATCACAAGTTAATGTGACTGAACAAATCCTATCATGCACCTAATCCATGCAGAGAGACAGATACAATACATATTTGTATTAACAAGAATATAAAAACGCCTCTTCTATCCTGTGATGAGAGTCAGCTGACTATTTCCTTCACCTTCTCCACAAACTTGAAGTAGTTGTACCTGATGTCAAAGTCCATGTCGTACCAGTAGTTCACTGAAACAGACGTGAGTCAGTCCAGATGTCAGTGAGTGAGTTGGATTACCCTGTGTTTAGCAACATTGCAGCAATATCATGGTGGGAACACCAGAAATAGGCTCCTCACATTGTACACATGTGGGGAATCGAACCCGGGCCTCTGATGATATGAGCAAACACTTTAACCACGAGGCTACCCCACCTCCCTGGGTGACACCTACCGGCTATACATGCATGTGACTGCTGGACGTGGTGGAACCAGAGCGACGGCAGGTACAGCGTCTCTCCCGCCTGCACCACCACCTCGATGGGACGTGCAGATGCGTACTGTGGATATTTCTTCAGGTCTGGATTCAGCGGGTCGATGGAGATCCAGGGGACCTGAACAAAAGGGGACATAACTCTCAACCATGGATTCATCGTCAATCTAAATATTTCGTTTAAAAAACTTCATCTTGTAACAATGTATTTTTTGTGTCTCTTTTTTCTGTCTGAAGCATTATTAATTTTTTCAAGGATTTTCAGGGACAAATATTTTGGGGGATAAAAATCTAAAAGACGTACCATTTGGCTTTGCAAAATGTATATCATGTCATTAATTAAAAACTGATCACTTTTATCAGAACAACTTTGATTTAGGATTTTTACTTTCATATTTTGCTTACCAGACAAGTTCATTTATTATGGAACCATTTGACGTCATCCATTGCATCAAGGTGGCATCGTATTTGATGTCATTGCATAAAAAAATGACTTTTCCATTTTACAATGTCAATAAACACTTAGCGTTTTCAGATCTGTGAGTCCTATTAAGTATTTCATCTGAAACTGACAGCTTTATCTCCAAACTACACTCTTCAGAGTAATTTACCATGGTTATACAACATTTCTGAACTAGTTGCCACAGTCTCTTTGTATCAGCCACAGGAGTATTGACTGATACACCTCTCCTCTACACTCATAATTGAAGGGTTCACAAAAAAAAAATTATGCTAAAGCTTTCATACAATTCCAAAGTGCTTCACATATTGTACCCATGTCAGGAATCAAACCGGGTCTTTGGCGTGACAAGCAAACGCTTTAACCACTAGGCTACCCTACCGCCCCTCCAAAGTTATAAGTACAAAAAGTTAAAGTGTAACCCTTTATACAATCTACAACACTAAGCCATCAAGTCACTGATATTACCGCAGGGTGAAGCATTTAGAACCCACTTATCTCATTAGGAGAGTAGTGTTAATATTTTATGTCCGTTTCAGTTACTTTTGTGAGCTTTGATATGCAAACACCCCCCAGAATGGAGAAGGTAAATAAATGTTTGTGCTTGCCTGGAGTGTGGGGTTAAGATTAGGGGTGACTATTGGTCTGGAAATCACTATTGCGATAACTATTGATATTGCAAGCAACTATTGCGATAAATATCGATAGTTTTCAGTGTATCATTTTAGATGAATTTTAGAGTTGAAATAAACCTTGGAAATGAAGTTTCCTTTGAATGTGATAACCATAATAACAAATAAAAAGCAAAGTTTGAGGTATGACTGATTTGTTTTTTCATTACCCTAATAATTTAAGAAAAAGAAACTTCCACATCACCATGTGTGAATTACTACCACTCATGATCAAAAGAAAAACAAATTTGAACAGCATTGCATGTATTTTATTGATATGGTAAATACAATCAAAACTATCCATATTCCAAACTGAAATCGATACTATTGATCGGAAACTGATTTAGCAATCAATTTATTGACTTTAAGTGCTTACCAATAGCAATATATCTATATTGCAGTTTATGGTGACACCCCTAGTTAAGATACCAATACTTTCTGTGGTGTATTGGCCAATATACCAACAGTACATGTACGTGCTCTGTTCACCCACTGGGCCCAGACATCGGATGAAGATTCTGAGTTACCTACCTGCCCTGCCTCCTCGTCGTCTACGATGTGGAAGTTGCCGTCATCGTCTGTGCTGTATGCAGCAGCCTGGTATTCCCCTGGAGATGCCAAACAGACAAACTCACAACCCTTCATCAAGCACAAAAAACCAACTTTCAGAGACGTCGCACATCTTACTTTCTGGAACACACCTAACTTTTCTTGTATAACTGCAATTTAAACATCTCTGAACCCCTGTGTTCATCAATGTGATATCTTGTACAGTTTACCTATACTTCAGAAACTTTCATTAGCACCTACACTGTAGTGTTGTGTGTGATGTAGAATACAACTGTAGTGTATCGTGTGATGTAGACTACAACTGTAGTGTATCGTGTGATGTAGAATACAACTGTAGTGTATCGTGTGATGTAGACTGCAACTGTAGTGTTGTGTGTGATGAAGACTACAACTGTAGAGTAGTGTGTGATGTAGAATACAACTGTAGTGTATCATGTGATGTAGACTACAACTGTAGTGTATCTTGTGATGTAGACTACAACTGTAGTGTATCTTGTGATGTAGACTGCAACTGTAGTGTTGTGTGTGATGAAGACTACAACTGTAGAGTAGTGTGTGATGTAGAATACAACTGTAGTGTATCATGTGATGTAGACTACAACTGTAGTGTATCGTGTGATGTAGACTACAACTGCAGCGTATCGTGTGATGTAGACTGCAACTGTAGTGTATCGTTTGATGTAGAATACAACCGTAGTGTTGTGTGTGATGTAGAATACAACTGTAGTGTATCGTGTGATGTAGACTGCAACTGTAGTGTTGTGTGTGATGTAGAATACAACTGTAGTGTATCATGTGATGTAGACTACAACTGTAGTGTAGTGTGTGATGTAGAATACAACTGTAGTGTATCATGTGATGTAGACTACAACTGTAGTGTATCATGTGATGTAGACTACAACTGTAGTGTAGTGTGTGATGTAGACTACAACTGTAGTGTAGTGTGTGATGTAGAATACAACTGTAGTGTATCATGTGATGTAGACTACAACTGTAGTGTATCATGTGATGTAGACTACAACTGTAGTGTATCATGTGATGTAGACTACAACTGTAGTGTAGTGTGTAATGTAGACTACAACTGTAGTGTATCATGTGATGTAGACTACAACTGTAGTGTAGTGTGTGATGTAGAATACAACTGTAGTGTATTGTGTGATGTAGACTACAACTGTAGTGTATCATGTGATGTAGACTACAACTGTAGTGTATCATGTGATGTAGACTACAACTGTAGTGTAGTGTGTGATGTAGACTACAACTGTAGTGTAGTGTGTGATGTAGAATACAACTGTAGTGTATCATGTGATGTAGACTACAACTGTAGTGTAGTGTGTGATGTAGAATACAACTGTAGTGTATTGTGTGATGTAGACTACAACTGTAGTGTATCATGTGATGTAGACTACAACTGTAGTGTATCATGTGATGTAGACTACAACTGTAGTGTAGTGTGTGATGTAGAATACAACTGTAGTGTAGTGTGTGATGTAGAATACAACTGTAGTGTATTGTGTGATGTAGACTACAACTGTAGTGTATCATGTGATGTAGACTACAACTGTAGTGTATCATGTGATGTAGAATACAACTGTAGTGTATCATGTGATGTAGAATACAACTGTAGTGTAGTGTGTGATGTAGACTACAACTGTAGTGTAGTGTGTAATGTAGACTACAACTGTAGTGTATCATGTGATGTAGACTACAACTGTAGTGTAGTGTGTGATGTAGAATACAACTGTAGTGTATTGTGTGATGTAGAATACAACTGTAGTGTATTGTGTGATGTAGACTACAACTGTAGTGTATCATGTGATGTAGACTACAACTGTAGTGTATCATGTGATGTAGACTACAACTGTAGTGTAGTGTGTGATGTAGAATACAACTGTAGTGTAGTGTGTGATGTAGAATACAACTGTAGTGTATTGTGTGATGTAGACTACAACTGTAGTGTATCGTGTGATGTAGACTACAACTGTAGTGTATCATGTGATGTAGACTACAACTGTAGTGTATCATGTGATGTAGACTACAACTGTAGTGTAGTGTGTGATGTAGACTACAACTGTAGTGTAGTGTGTGATGTAGAATACAACTGTAGTGTATCATGTGATGTAGACTACAACTGTAGTGTAGTGTGTGATGTAGAATACAACTGTAGTGTATTGTGTGATGTAGACTACAACTGTAGTGTATCATGTGATGTAGACTACAACTGTAGTGTATCATGTGATGTAGACTACAACTGTAGTGTAGTGTGTGATGTAGAATACAACTGTAGTGTAGTGTGTGATGTAGAATACAACTGTAGTGTATTGTGTGATGTAGACTACAACTGTAGTGTATCGTGTGATGTAGAATACAACTGTAGTGTATTGTGTGATGTAGACTGCAACTGTAGTGTTGTGTGTGATGTACAATACAACCGTAGTGTAGTGTGTGATGTAGAATACAACTGTAGTGTAGTGTGTGATGTAGAATACAACTGTAGTGCATCGTGTGATGTAGACTGCAACTGTAGTGTTGTGTGTGATGTACAATACAACCGTAGTGTAGTGTGTGATGTAGAATACAACTGTAGTGTATCGTGTGATGTAGACTACAACTGTAGCGTATCGTGTGATGTAGACTACAACTGTAGTGTAGTGTGTGATGTAGACTACAACTGTAGTGTAGTGTGTGATGTAGACTACAACTGTAGTGTAGTGTGTGATTAACACTCACCATATGGAATGAACGGCACGTCTGTTGGAGGAATGAGGATAAATTTCTTCCATCCAGACACGACACAGTACAGGTTCTCATAGTGGTCTCTGTGCACTACAACCAAAACACAGCAGACTTAGTCATCGAATCAGAAAAAACTCCATTGTCGGAACAAAATATTAAATCATCAGAGCAGGACATTCAGTCATTGGTACAGAACATTCTGTCGTCAGTACAGAACATTCAGTCATTGTTACAGAACATTCAGTCATCGGTACAGAACATTCAGTCCTCAGTACAGAACATTCTGTCGTCAGTACAGAACATTCAGTAATTGGTACAGAACATTCAGTCCTCGGTACAGAACATTCAGTCCTCAGTACAGAACATTCAGTCCTCGGTACAGAACACTCAGTCATTGGTACAGAACATTCAGTCATCGGTACAGAACATTCAGTCATTGGTACAGAACATTCAGCCATCGGTACAGAACATTCAGCCATGAGTACAGAACATTCAGTCATCGGTACAGAACATTCAGTCATCGGTACAGAACATTCAGTCATTGTTACAGAACATTCAGTCATTGTTACAGAACGTTCAGTCATTGTGACAGAACATTCAGTCATTGGTACAGAACATTCAGCCATCGGTACAGAACATTCAGTCATCAGTACAGAACATTCAGTCATTTGTACAGAACATTCAGTCATCGGTCCAGAACATTCAGCCATCGGTACAGAACATTCAGTCATCGGTACAGAACATTCAGTCATTGGTACAGAACATTCAGTCATTGGTACAGAACATTCAGTCATTGGTACATAACATTCAGCCATCTGTACAGAACATTCAGTCATTGGTACAGAACATTCAGCCATCGGTACAGAACATTCAGCCATCGGTACAGAACATTCAGTCCTCGGTACAGAACATTCAGTCATTGGTACAGAACATTCAGTCCTCGGTACAGAACATTCAGTCCTCGGTACAGAACATTCAGTCATCGGTACAGAACATTTAGTCCTCGGTACAGAAGATTCAGTCATTGGTAAAGAACATTCAGCCATGGGTACAGAACATTCAGTCATCAGTACAGAACATTCAGCCATCGGTACAGAACATTAAGTCATCGGTACAGAACATTCAGCCATCGGTACAGAACATTAAGTGAGGACAGACAAAACAGACAACAAACCCAGACACAAGATCCCCATGAAACAACAAAGTAATGCTCTAACACATTTCATCAGTTTTGAAACTCTCCTTAACAGAATCTAGTCATCTAATCTCCTCCACTCACTGGAGGTGATAGCTCGACCATCCCCCATCCAGAAGTTCACAGCATCAGGACATCTCCCTGAAACACAAATGTTACATTTCTCTCTGTAATTCACACAATCAAGCTTAGGCTGAAAATAATAATAGTCTTCGTTCTCAGGCACCGCCCGCATCATCAGTTTGGCCCACGTTTAATTCTTATTTCCATTTAAATCTTTAAAAAAAAATAATCCTTAAATATTCCAAGTCAAATGGTAGTCAAATACTGTATTCCAGTATTTTACTCATCAAGGAATACATTTATGTAGGGAGGCCCTTTCCCAGGTTGATTGGACACAATTGTTTATTTGACTACACAACTGTATTATTTGGTTACATACTAGTTTGAAAAACCAAAGAAAAAAAAGACACTGCCCACCCTCACTATATTTTCAAAAACCATTGCCTGAGAACCAATTCTTTTGGTTTTTTTAAGCCTTAAACATGGAAATCCATGCCCCACCCCTACATTATTACATGTCTGCAATAGACAATATTCAGTGTAAACAGTAAGAACAATCCTTATCATATTACACCTTGTTATAACATAGTTTCAGAGGAGATTCCCCTATAACAAGGAAATACATGCATGAAAACATAACAAAGTGTCACAGGGCTGTGGTTCATAAGGTCACTTAACCAACAGTTGATATGTAACAGTGGTATGATCACTGGCAGGGACTTAGTAAACATGTCTGCAGCTTTGTCACGTCATCAGTCCAGTGGAATCTGTCTACAATCTACACCTGGCTCAAACAGACATGGATCTGTGGCTCAAGCCAAATGTCCCAACTTCACTATATTAACTATCAGACTCCCTACAGTCCGGAATTAAGCTTCTAACCTACGAAATGTCTCACATCCAAGTGTCAGGCCGACTAACATACCAAATCCCTCAGACCCCAGTGTCACGTCGGCTAACCTACCAAATGCCTCATCCCAGTGTCAGGTCGACGAACCTACCAAATCCCTAACAACCCAGTGTCAGGTCGACGAACCTACCAAATGCCTCACATCCCAGTGTCAGGTCGACGAACCTACCAAATGCCTCACAACCCAGTGTCAGGTCGACTAACCTACCAAATGCCTCGCACCCCAGTGTCAGGTCGACGAACCTACCAAATCCCTAACTACCCAGTGTCAGGTCGATGAACCTACCAAACGCCTCACAACCCAGTGTCAGGTCGACGAACCTACCAAATGCCTCACATCCCAGTGTCAGGTCGACGAACCTACCAAATGCCTCACAACCCAGTGTCAGGTCGCCGAACCTACCAAATGCCTCACATCCCAGTGTCAGGTCGACTAACCCGCCATATCCCTCACACCCCAGTGTCACATTGACTAACCTACCAAACGCCTCACACCCCAGTGTCACGTCGGCTAACCTATGAAATCCCTCACTGCCGAGCGTCAGGTCGACTAACCTACCAAATGCCTCACACCCCAGTGTCACATTGACTATCCTACCAAATGCCTCACAACCCAGTGTCAGGTCGACTAACCTACCAAATGCCTCACATCCAAGTGTCACGTCGGCTAACCTACCAAACGCCTCACAACCCAGTGCCAGGTCGACTAACCTACCAAATGCCTCACACCCCAGTGTCACGTCGGCTAACCCACCAAATGCCTCACAACCCAGTGTCACGTCGGCTAACCTACCAAATGCCTCACAACCCAGTGTCAGGTCGACTAACCTACCAAACGCCTCACATCCAAGTGTCAGGTTTACGAACCTACCAAATCCCTCACACCCCAGTGTCAGGTCGACTAACCCACCATATCCCTCACACCCCAGTGTCACGTCGGCTAACCCACCATATCCCTCACACCCAAGTGTCACGTGGGCTAACCTACCAAACGCCTCACACCCCAGTGTCACGTCGGCTAGCCTACCAAATGCCTCACACCCCAGTGCCAGGTCGACTAACCCACCATATCCCTCACACCCCAGTGTCACGTGGGCTAACCTACCAAATGCCTCACACCCCAGTGTCATGTCGACTAACCCGCCATATCCCTCACACCCAAGTGTCATGTCGGCTAACCTACCAAACGCCTCACACCCCAGTGTCACGTCGGCTAGCCTACCAAATGCCTCACACCCCAGTGCCAGGTCGACTAACCCACCATATCCCTCACACCCCAGTGTCACGTCGGCTAACCCACCATATCCCTCACACCCCAGTGTCACGTGGGCTAACCTACCAAATGTCTCACATCCCAGTGTCAGGTTGACTAACCTACGAAATCCCTAACAACCCAGTGTCAGGTCGACTAACCTACCAAATGCCTCACTGCCGAGAGTCAGGTCGACTAACCTACCAAATCCCTCACATCCAAGTGTCAGGTTTACGAACCTACCAAATCCCTCATACCCCAGTGTCAGGTCGACTAGCCTACCAAATGCCTCACATCCCAGTGTCAGGTCGACGAACCTACCAAATGCCTAACAACCCAGTGTCAGGTCGGCTAACCTACCAAATACAGCACATCAAAGTGTCAGGTCCACTAACCTACCAAATGCCTAAGATCCAAGTGTAAGGTCGAATAACCTACCAAATCCCTAACAACCCAGAGTCAGGTCGACTAGCCTACCAAATGCCTCACATCCCAGTGTCAGGTCGACTAGCCTACGAAATCCCTAACAACCCAGTGTCACGTCGGCTAACCTACCAAATGCCTCACACCCCAGTGTCACGTCGACTAACCCACCATATCCCTCACACCCCAGTGTCACGTCGGCTAACCTACCAAATGCCTCACACCCCAGTGTCATGTCGACTAACCCGCCATATCCCTCACACCCAAGTGTCACGTCGGCTAACCTACCAAACGCCTCACACCATAGTGTCACGTCGGCTAACCTACTAAATCCCTCACACCCCAGTGTCACGTCGGCTAACCCACCAAATCCCTCACACCCCAGTGTCACATTGACTAACCTACCAAACGCCTCACACCCCAGTGTCACGTCGGCTAACCTATGAAATCCCTCACTGCCGAGAGTCAGGTCGACTAACCTACCAAATGCCTCACACCCCAGTGTCACATTGACTAACCTACCAAATGCCTCACAAGCCAGTGTCAGGTCGACTAACCTACCAAATGCCTCACAACCCAGTGCCAGGTCGACTAACCTACCAAATGCCTCACACCCCAGTGTCACGTCGGCTAACCCACCAAATGCCTCACAACCCAGTGTCACGTCGGCTAACCTACCAAATGCCTCACAACCCAGTGTCAGGTCGACTAACCTACCAAACGCCTCACATCCAAGTGTCAGGTTTACGAACCTACCAAATCCCTCACACCCCAGTGTCACGTTGACTAACCCACCATATCCCTCACACCCCAGTGTCACGTCGGCTAACCCACCATATCCCTCACACCCCAGTGTCACGTCGGCTAACCTACCAAACGCCTCACACCCCAGTGTCATGTCGACTAACCCGCCATATCCCTCACACCCAAGTGTCATGTCGGCTAACCTACCAAACGCCTCACACCATAGTGTCACGTCGGCTAACCTACTAAATCCCTCACACCCCAGTGTCACGTCAGCTAACCCACCAAATCCCTCACACCCCAGTGTCACATTGACTAACCTACCAAACGCCTCACACCCCAGTGTCACGTCGGCTAACCTATGAAATCCCTCACTGCCGAGAGTCAGGTCGACTAACCTACCAAATGCCTCACACCCCAGTGTCACATTGACTAACCTACCAAATGCCTCACAACCCAGTGTCAGGTCGACTAACCTACCAAATGCCTCACATCCAAGTGTCACGTCGGCTAAACTACCAAACGCCTCACAACCCAGTGCCAGGTCGACTAACCTACCAAATGCCTCACACCCCAGTGTCACGTCGGCTAACCCACCAAATGCCTCACAACCCAGTGTCACGTCGGCTAACCTACCAAATGCCTCACAACCCAGTGTCAGGTCGACTAACCTACCAAACGCCTCACATCCAAGTGTCACGTCGGCTAAACTACCAAACGCCTCACAACCCAGTGCCAGGTCGACTAACCTACCAAATGCCTCACACCCCAGTGTCACGTCGGCTAACCCACCAAATGCCTCACAACCCAGTGTCACGTCGACTAACCTACGAAATCCCTAACAACCCAGTGTCAGGTCGACTAACCTACCAAATGCCTCACTGCCGAGAGTCAGGTCGACTAACCTACCAAATCCCTCACATCCAAGTGTCAGGTTTACGAACCTACCAAATCCCTCACACCCCAGTGTCAGGTCGACTAGCCTACCAAATGCCTCACATCCCAGTGTCAGGTCAACGAACCTACCAAATGCCTAACAACCCAGTGTCAGGTCGGCTAACCTACCAAATACAGCACATCAAAGTGTCAGGTCCACTAACCTACCAAATGCCTAAGATCCAAGTGTAAGGTCGAATAACCTACCAAATCCCTAACAACCCAGAGTCAGGTCGACTAACCTACCAAATGCCTCACATCCCAGTGTCAGGTCGACTAGCCTACGAAATCCCTAACAACCCAGTGTCATGTCGGCTAACCTACCAAATGCCTCACACCCCAGTGTCACGTCGACTAACCCACCATATCCCTCACACCCCAGTGTCACGTCGGCTAACCTACCAAATGCCTCACACCCCAGTGTCATGTCGACTAACCCGCCATATCCCTCACACCCAAGTGTCACGTCGGCTAACCTACCAAACGCCTCACACCATAGTGTCACGTCGGCTAACCTACTAAATCCCTCACACCCCAGTGTCACGTCGGCTAACCCACCAAATCCCTCACACTCCAGTGTCACATTGACTAACCTACCAAACGCCTCACACCCCAGTGTCACATTGACTAACCTACCAAATGCCTCACAACCCAGTGTCAGGTCGACTAACCTACCAAATGCCTCACATCCAAGTGTCACGTAGGCTAACCTACCAAACGCCTCACAACCCAGTGCCAGGTCGACTAACCTACCAAATGCCTCACACCCCAGTGTCACATTGACTAACCTACCAAATGCCTCACAACCCAGTG